TTTATAAAACATTTTAAATAGGGTATCATGTATAATGTTAGGTACACAATTGGAGCTCTCCAAAGAAACAAAATAACATATATAGAAATAAATTCTGCTGGTATTGGTGCTTTTCGGGATTTCCAGTTCTGCTTCTGTTTAGTGTAAGCCTGGTTTATTTTGTCAGTAAGCAATCTTTGCTGGCTTCATAGCTCAGTCTATACCCATATTAGCAGTTTGTATGGAGAAGGATATATATTTGGCAATCATGTGCAGTATTCCATTAAGGGTGTGTTGCTTTACATTCTCCAAACGTAACTCAGAATGGCATATGCAGTGGATATGCTGGATACCTGCAGAGGAGAGCTTCCCCATCTGGGCTTTTGAGGGGGCTTTGTTCATGTATACTGTATAAGGTTTCAGTCAAGTATTTCTAACTGCCTAATTCACTCTGTAGTGAGGAACTCTATTCCCTTTTTGCCTTCACCCTGAGCCCCTGGAAATTGTCACTTTAAAATTGGTGTTTACTTCCACCCCCCACTCCTACCAAATCAGCCCCATGTTGGCAGTTGAATGTGTAATCTCTGAGAAATCTCCAAAGTGCAAAAAGGAAAAATCTATAAAAATCTATAAAGTCTATAAAAAGGAAAAAAAAATCTATATGCGGATGTGTGTAGAATGAGAGTCAGGAGTGCTTCCAAAAAATGTATTTGCAGGTCCCACTTCTGGATTATTCTCCTTATAATATCCTGGGTTTTATTATGACAGGTCTTACGTATACCTAGTCTAATTCAAGACCGATTTAAATGAAGAAGTTTTGGTTATTCTGCAGGTCAGCAAGCTTATGTAACAAGCCCCACATCATACGGCCTTTGAAAGATAGAGGGTGTAGTGCTATAGTGCAGGCCTGACCCAGGTGGGCAAAGGCTGTGCAGTCAGCAGACTGATTCATCAGCACCACCTGACCTGGTCATCTTCACAGTGCCTGGTCTGGAAGCTACCTTAATGCCTGTCAGCAGCACAAAATAAATTGAAAATGTTTATCAAATTATGAATATCCTCTCCCAGATATGCTGGGCATTTATTGCCATGGCCATGGATTAAGAGCCTGTGGAATCTGGACAGCAATAATCTAGTCACAAAACTCTCTAAGCATGTAGATCCCTAGAAACAATAGCCCAGTGATTCACTGTACCAAAGATCCTGGCAGGACAGACTGTTTTTGCATAATGAAGATGATTTCTGCTGCTACCATGAAGGACCAGCTCCCCATTTACTCAGGTGACCAGCTGCTGTGCTTGAGACCCCATATGCTTTGTGTTCCTAGGAAGACTTGGCTTCCTTTTTCTGCTTCCCTTCTTGGACTCCCAAAAGGCCTGCAGCACACAGGGTCCACTTTTTCCTAGATATGGATGTCCAATGTTCTTGTCACATGCACTACCACCCCTCTCACTACAGCACCACTCTAGAGTCTGGATGCCAGGAATCCCATAGAGGGGACTGAGAAAGCACTGTTTTGTTGAGCTAGCTTTCCACAGTTAAAGATTCATAAATGAAACTGAGAGAATGGTATCACACAGGTAGCACTAGTGCCATCAGACTTTTCTTTCATCACATGTTAGAATTAGAGGACCTATAGAGAAAGAGAAAGAAAGTATAGTATACTGGACTAACAGTAGGTTTGAAGAATTCCGCTTTTGTCATTTACCAGCTGTGTGACCTTAGACAAGACACATTTTATTTCTCTGATCTTTATCTTTGTTATTTGTATATGTACATAATTTCATCTCCCTTACTGTAGGAATTTTAAAAAATTAAATATGTAAAATACCTAGAAATAACATCAGGCATGTTTGTAGGTATTTAATAAAATATTGATGTATCGTTACCAACCCTTCCATGGTCAGATATAAAAATTGAGACCCAAAGAAAGGCAGTGATTTGCTCCCAGACCCAAAGAGACAATGGAAGTACAGCTAGTGTCAGAGGTGAGATACTTGGCTTTCTAACCACACTTTTTAAACTACAGGTATGACCTAATTGAGGACCATTATGACAGGCAACAGACATCTGACACACAGACTTTTAAGTGTTTTACTTTTTTGTTGTTTTAAGAGTTTTGTTTTTTTTTAAAACTATAGGCTTGTATACTTTTGTCATCTCAGGGTGGCTGAAGATGGGCAATGCTGATGTGGGAAAGAATCATAGCTTAGGGTTGGATAGTTACTTCATTTAATTCTCTGCCTCATGAATTTTGTATTCTGATTCTCTTTTCTCCCCTACTATAGACAAGTCTCATACACAATTAGTTATACTACACAAGAAACTGAATTTGGTGGAAGCTTGAAAAGGTGAACATATTTTATAATGCCTTTGTACAATAATAAATATGCTCTCTATCAATTCATTCCTTTAAAATATGTTTTTAGTAACTCTTTACATGAAGGTTAATTAGGCTAGATCCTCCTCTCATAAGGGTCAAACACCTAGAAGAACCCAGACATGTGGAAATTGAACATACCTAGGAGAGAGCTTGGTACTGTACAAGGCACAGGTGTTGCTTGCATCAAGATGGCAGAGATGACTTCTAGCCTTGAAGGATGGGAAGGGTAGCAACCAATAAAATGAGTCTTAGAGAAAGGGGCAAGGTTGTCTGTGACTTGAAACAGTCAATAACTTGGTAGAAGTCTTTCAGAAAACAGCCTGTTCAGAAATAAAATGTGCTCCCAAGTAGTTTACCTGCTAAGAAATTCAAAGAATGACCCAATAGAAGCTGCTTCTGAAACTGACATGACTGTTGAATTATCTTGCATGGGAATGAAAACACCTCAGAAGGGAACACAGGATACTTGAATTACTACTAGCAGTCTACAGGATGATGCTGAGACCCAAACCACATAGCATATGTTCATAGCTCCTGTGCAGTACTCTTAGACATGTATGATAACCTATAGGTTAATATGATGTCAGTGGATAATCTCATAGCAGTGAGCCCTGTAATAGTGGTCAGCCCTCCATAGTAACCAAAGTAGGTCCTCAACAAGCTGAGACTCCAAGGCCTGAATAACAGGTCCTCTCCCAGAGATTCACTTCCGTGTTCATTTTTCAGCCTTCTGAGAATGTTCTTTCCAAGCCATCATTGAATATTAGTATGGAATTTCCTTGAATGGTTTGTTACTGAGGTGAGGGGGTCTTAAGCTTTTAATACCTTGATTTTTTTAACTAGTCCATGTTTGTTTGAATTTTTCCACAAGCCAGAAAGTCCATTGAAAATAGGTACATAAAAGGAAAAGTAGATTGGTTTCAGAAAATGATTTATGTTAATCTTCTAAGGAATCTCTTATAAAATGTTGACTGATATACATTAAGAGCTATTGCATGATAGTTTAATGGTAGTGGAGCAGAAATCAGAATTAATGTGGAACAGATAAACAAAGTGTCTGTGGACTATCAACCCTCTTCTTAGCTTTGCTCCTAATAGTAGTATTACCAAAATTTTGAAAAGTTTTTTAAAGGTATCTATTTACATAAGGAATACTTAACTATAAAGGTGTGTCTTAGTTACTTTCTCATTGCTGAGACAAAATACCTGACACCCAAAGTTACAGGTGGAAAAGTTTTGGCTCACATTTGGCAGTTGGCTGGTTCCAAAGCAGGATGGCATAGAAGAAGGGCATCACAGAGGAAAAATAGTTCATGGCAGGCAGAAGGCAGCAAAGTAGCAAATCAGCAGCAAGCAACATGTAGTTACAGCAGTGCTCTTTCTGCCTCATATATTCTATCTAGGCTCCCCAGCCTTAGGGTGGATAACACTCACATCCTGAGTGGGACACCTTTAATTCTAGCATCACACTGTGAATCATTCCCAGCATCACATCCTTAATCTAAGCATCACACGCTCTAGATCCAGCCACCTCTGAAAAGCCTGACCTATGACCACATGAGGCTTTGAGGGGACATCTAGATACAAGCCATAACAAAGTGGAATCTTTTAAAAGTTTTACCATACTGGCACTGTCTCTTGTTGCACTGGAATTGTCCCTTGGAGAAGAATACCACTGAGCTATTTAAATCATTCCCCTCCCAATCTCATTACCAGTGCCAGAGCTGATGTGTGATAGTTGTCTCCTTCAAATTAAAGAGTACTCTTTTCTTTGCAAGGGTGAAGGAAAATTGTCTCTTGCCAACCAAGAACAGGACAAAACTAAGTCACCAAGAGATGATGTCATCAGTGTGTACCAGGAGGGGCAACTATTCTACCAATTAGGGACACTTTAGCTAATCTAACTGCCTGTCTTCTGTAACAGAGAAGCTCTACCAAGCACAAGTGGAGCTCTTGTGTCTACTATGCAATTTTAATGTCAGGAAATTGGTGTGCTTTTAATAGAACCTAACTTTAAAAAGTTAAATAATAGAGTTGAGAGCTTTGGCATTTCCTTCTCCTTTCATTAAATCAGAAAATTTAGGGCAAAGAAATATTTTTTAATAACATCTCCATACTGCCCATTTGCTTTTGATTTCTTGACTTCTGTTTTTTATGTGAAGATGGTGAGTAGTGTTAGAAGGCAGATTTTTTTTTTTTTTTTTTTTTTGGTGCCGGGGATTGAACTCTGGACCTTGCACTTTCGAGGCAGATGACAGAACCACTGAGCTAAATCCCCAGCCCAGTAGGCAGATTTTGTTAAACATTAGACATTAATTTTGCTTGCTTTTGTAATTCCTGTTCTTATTTCAAGTTCCCTATTCTTGTTTATATTCCTCTATATAACTAATAAATTGGAACACTCGATATGATTATGAATGTGTTATTTGTGTAAATGCAGTAGTTGTAATTTTTGAATGGTGTATTGCTCATTTACACAGTAGTAGAGTTCAGTGTCACTCTAGGAAATAGTCCATTTTTAGCAAACATGAAGAATAAGCCCCACCCTTACATGAGTGTGTTATTAGAGATGACTGCCAGGACAACGTGCCTGGTATGCATGGTCATTACATGTGCCTATGCTTTTATCTTCACATAGGCAAGGCAATTTTCCTGGCATGAACCAGAGTGGACTCATGACTTCCAGCTCTCCCTACAGCCAGCCCATGAACAACAGCTCTGGCCTGATGAACACACAGGGACCGCCTTACAACATGACACCAGCTATGGTGAACAGCGCGACAGGTAACCTGGCAGCTCTGTCCTGAGTGCTGCCCTGTCTTTCCCTCTCCTCCTAGGTTTCCACAGTGAATATGCCCAAACAGCTCACGAAGGCAGATCTGCTGATGGAAATGGGAATGTTAGACTACTTCCCTACTTCTGGGAAACTGTTTGGTCTACTTGAGACTTGAGGATTGTGTTATAGTTTATGTAAATTGTTTTATTCCTTCTGTATTTGTATAATATGTGCATATATTTTGAGTATCACTGGAGATTTTTTGCTAGACACCAATTTCTCCTTATCTGTGAGAATTATTAAGAGTATTAGAAAATCTCAAAACAAGAACTCTGCATTTGACAGTGGTAAACATAAACACATTTCAGAGGAAATGGTTGAAGAGTAAAACAAGGGGAATTTGGAGGGCTTCTTTTCATTTAGGGAAACACCTTTAAATGTATATATGAAAGCAATAACTTTATAAGTACTATTTGCAAGTTACCTCTATAAGAAAACTATTGTAAATATTTCATTATATTTAGTTCTTTAAAGCCACTTATCTCAGCAGTTGTGTTCTTACAAAAATTATCTCTGATTAGTACATTAGAAACATTCTGTGAGCTTGTGGGAAACATCAGGAATGTATCCAGACTTCCCATGTTCTCTGCTCTGAGACCCTTGAGCCTGACAATCAGTGGGTCCCTACCTCAAGTTCCTGAACTTCCCAAAAATATAGAGTGCTGGTTCTGAAGTAAGTCAGTGCTGTATGTTTTGGCTGAGTGCCAGAGACCCTTGTGGTGAAGTTTTCTCCTTTAGTTAACACAGAACTTGGTGTAGCTGCTCTGTGTCCTCCATTGATTTATGACATATCAGGAATACATTGTAGAGTTAGAGCCCTGGCTCCTTTGGATACCTTTTTCCATTAGGGCTGCCTTCTGCTGCTGTCCTGGCTTCTGGTCTTGGAGAAGCCAACTTCTTATTTGAGCTTCTGAGTCAACAATTTCTAAAGTCTCATTTAATAGCGGCATTCCCTAATTATTCTTTTAAAGGTTTGTGAAAGAGGCAAACATAGCTAATACTGGTAAAAAAGGAGGGTTTTTTTAATCAATAAAGTAGCCCTTCATGAGGTTAAGCAGACAGTTACTCCTTCAGGAAAGTGGGTATTTTGCATTAAAGATGAAAGTGCAAAGCTCCAGCAGTCTGTTACCAAGGAGCCTCAGCAGTGCTGTCCCAGGTGACAGAGGATTGGGGATGTGACCATCTGTGTTTTGTCTGTCTTCTAGAAATAAAATTACTTCAGACCATTTAAACTCCACCATAAATTTTTACCTATTAGCAGTACTCATTTTTTGTTTGGACCTCACAAAAAATGACCAACAATACACATGGCGCAGTGCCCTGCTCCAAAAAGATTTTAGTGGGGATTCACAAAGGATTTCTTCTTACTATTATTCCTTATCTTATATGGAGGAAATCTGTTTAGTCAAAGGCCATTTATTCTCACAGACTTTTATGTGAGGTAATAGTATATTTTTATTGCATTATGCATTTTGAAATACTGAATTTTTAATTGTTTAAACATCAAATTTTGCTCTACACATTTATGTGATTTTCTTTCAGCTTTATACCCAATAGAAAGTAATTATTCAGCATATCCAAGGAGTATTGACCACTTAGCATTTACTGGGTATCTATTGATAGGTCTGTGTGAACCTGCCATAGCTGTGTTATTCTTTGAGGCAACAGGATGACACAAGGCATTATAGTGTAGCTCCTGATGAGGATTTGAAGGCTAATGTGTACACTTGGATAGGGATGGGTCAGGAATGACTCACCATCACATCCATCTCTTTGGCTTGAGATGTTGGAGATAAATTACCAGTGATAATAGTGAAACATTTCTCCATCAAAGTGTACTTTCAGAAAAAGTAAAGATAATACAAATTCTGACCAGGGCTGAAAGTAGAATTTTCTGCACCTTAGTTAACAGCCAGTGCAACTGGCATTCTAGTATTCTCTTTTCTGAGTTTAGACAGTTGTGTTGCAGACAGTGTAGAGGGCCCAAAAAAATCTTGTTGTATAGTGACAAATTGTTACAGGGTTCAGTGAGCAAATAATTATTTAAATGGAGTCAGTGTGAGTAAAAATGTGATGACCATTTCTTTATTTAAAATGCCAGAGGAAGTTATAGGGTAAGCAGTGGGGATTTTTCCTCCTGAAAGAGCTCTTTTGGTTCTGTTTTAACTATTTAGATTAGAAGGTTAGAACTTTATGATATAGGCAAAATTATAAGTCATGTGTAACCTTGTTAAATATACCCTTATACACAATATCTGTGTTGTTAGTTGCACTGTACTTATTTGTATTCCATTTATAATATTTATTAGCCATATGTTCGTTTGCATATAAACTGTCATTTTAAAGTGGACATCTAAATTAAAAAAAATAAATCTACCATTTGTAGTTTTGAGTTTGCCTCACAAGAAGACACTTCACAAAATGTAGGGCATTTCTACTGTGTATCCTCTAGACAGTAAAGAAGCAGCCATATGCCACTGCAGCCATGTCTTTCTCTTATACAGAGATGTGGTCAAATTGCAGTAGTGAGTCTTTCTGTCACCCAGCATTGCTCCGTCCCACATGCAAAGTGTCCTATTAATGCCTAGCCTATGTAGAGTATAGTAGTTATAATAGCCCTTTACAAAGAACAGTCCATTGCACTGCCACAAAATTATGAACCACCTATTTCAGGATCTCCTGGAATGCTTGTTAAAACTACAGATTCCCGGGCTGGGGATTTAGCTCAGTGGTTCTGGCGCCTGCCTCGAAAGCACAAGGTCCCGAGTTCAATCCCTGGTACCAAAAAAACCACAAAAACTACAGATTCCCAGGTTTCCATCAAAATTTTTGAGGATGGATCCAGGAGTCTGCATTCTTAACAAACTTCTGAGGTAATTTTCATGTATGCATGTTGAAGTTCAAGAACTGCAGATTTGGGGGTACATTGGTACCTTGGTTCACAAATGGTTTTGTTTGCAAACAATTTGGTTCACAAACAAGTGTTTGGCACAATTTTGTTTTTGTTTGCAAACCGTGCATCAGGTGACAAACACAACCGTGGCCATCTTTACCACACAAATATGAACGTGGCCATCTTTTCCAAAATTGTAGAACAGATTAAGTTCATGAACCAAAGTACCACTGTATTTTGCTCTGCTGTCACCTGGCAGAACCACCACCAGCTTTGTGTGATATTAGCGGTTAACCAGACAATTTGCTGATTTGAGATTTTAAAAAGAGATTTAAAAAGATACACAAAACTGCCTAGAATGTGAACTTACCATCCAGATAGCTATTTTCTTGGAACTTTGGCACCTTCACACTGGCACTTTGGGGTCCTTAGCACTCTTGATGGTGTTTGATTGTCTAAGAAGTTTACAGAAGTGTCTGTTGGCTTGCTTTAAGTTAATGATTTTAGATGAATCCCTTCCTCCCCTGAAAACCAGCTCTTCTAAACAGGGGAAATGCATGCTGAGATCTTGCCAAAAAATACTGGTGCACCATCCCACAGGACTAGGGCTGTCCTGGCCATTCTCCTAGAGCAACCATGTGTAACAGCTTTGCTGGGATGGTTGCACAAGGAGCACCACTAGTGCAAATTAGGGTCACACTCAGCCTCCAACCTCTCACTGTCACTGTCCCCAAGGAGGTTCTCAGATAGGGATGTTTCAAGGATTTTCTCATGGCTTTGCTGACCCAGCAAAAGGGAAGTATATCCCCTGAGCTTTTTCCATATTCTTGTATGTGTCATATTAACAATGTATTTTATATTTGGCTACATATATAAATAGTCATGAACATCTACAGGTATGCACACAAAGATAGGCCCTTTGTGCTTTCAAAAACAGAGAATAAAATATTTTGCAGAATATGATATATTACCATTAAAAGAAAATAACTGAGTGTGTTTCTGATCCTGTTTTACCATCTTCTGGGAGTGACTGCAGCCCTATATGAAGACTGAAAGAGGCTGGGAAAGAGCAGGAATGAATGTTTAAGTTCAGTTTTACTTCTTTCATATGTTCTTTATGTTTTTTTGAATGTAGCAAATCGAGGGCAGAATAACTGCCTTAGGACCATGACCCAGGCTTTCTTTAAAAACTCATTCTAGCTCTTAAATTTCAATGGTATGGCCAAAGGCTGTGTTTGAAATGTATTTACAGCACTCAGGCAGCACTTTCTGTTGCCACAGATTTCTTACTGGCCCTCCTCGCATCTGAACTTTACATACTAGATTACAGTGAGAGAAGGAACAGTGACTTGGTGTAATATGTCCGTAGGGTAGTAATGGTCTTGCTTTTCTGGGAAACAAGGAAAAACTAGTGCCCCTGGAGTACCATTGCCCTAGGAGACATGCGGCTCTTTGCAGTGACTCATTGACAATTCTGGTAAGAAGTCAAAAAATAAGCATTTCATCAAAAAGAACAGTAAAAGCTATAGTAAGGAAAGACTTTATGATCCATTTGGTAAAATAAAATTTATGCTGTCAGGCAAAAGAATAATAAACTATTACTCGAAATTATATCCTTATTTATCACTCAAGATAATAAAGCAATGCAATTTCGAGGTTTTATATTTGCATATTTAAAATGTCCATTCAAATGTCCAAGCTATTTGAGGAACTTTAAACCAACATAATGCTTATGTTTTTGTAAGTCTTAATTTTTAAATCAGTGTAAATTATCACTAATTATTATAAAACACATTAGCCTAGTTCTTTATTATTAGAATTGCTTTTGTTTATTGATTACATAAAATGTGGTATTATTATTCCTATCTTCAAAATAATATTCAGACATAATTTTAATATTCATAGAAATACTGACAACTGAAAGTTATCACCATTACATGACCTCTCCACTTTCTATGTATTTGTGCTAGCTATGATTTCTGCAAACCCATTTTGTGGATTTAAAAAAAAGGGACTTGTGGAATTTCACACACAAGCCCCTCTTTTTGCACTTTGCTGCTTTTTTCTGTCCTTCTATTCTTCTAAAACGGATGTTTTTAAATGTACAGGTTTACTCATTCCTGTCTTGTTAGACCCCAGAGATAAAACTGCATGAAATCAATCTGCTACTTTGAACAAGGCGATCTTCTTGGTTGTAATATCTCTCAGCTGCTTTTTTGAGGTTTCACACATTCACAAAAATAACAGCATTTTTAGCTGATCCCAATAGATTTTTCTCTGCAGCTGCATCACTTGAAAAAGCTTTTTGTTCCAGTTCTTAAAGTCTAAGTATTGAAAGTAATTTGAAAAAAAGAAAAACATCCTAATTATGATTTGTGTATGTTGTGATGACTTTAGGGGCTGACTGGGCTGCAAATGGGCTTTGAAACACTAGCCAATGTGCCTGTGGAAAATACAGGATTTCAGAGTGTATTATTGAGTGTGCTGATGTAAACTTATGGGCACGTGGCAGGGTAGGCTCTTTTGGCAGGACCTATGGTCTCAACCTGCAGTAATACTAATGATATTAGCAAATTAGTACCAGAGAGCTTGCCAGCTAATTCACCAGAGCCTGCTCACTCTTTCACTGCTGTAATTAAAACTAATTATTTTCTAAAACATAGTAATACATGAATATGTGCAATAATCATTTTGTAGTGGGCAATCTGTGAAGCCTTTTTTAAAGCTGGTGAATTTTTGTTTTTTTGGCACACTGTGCTCCATGTGTCCTGCCTGTTTGAGCCAGCACTTGTCTTTGCAGGGTGTGAAATAAGTCCTGCACATAGACCTCAGGTTCATGTTATTTTTACAGGGAGTGTTTTCTGGCTTTCACTGCTTTATAAAGCTTGTCCTTCTCTCTCTTGTCCCCTAGCGTCCCTGCCTCACTCTGCTCTTCACACATCTGTTTGGTGTCTCCCTCACAGCCCCTCCAGCCCAGGGTTGTGCAGATGGTTTTCACAGTGGGGTTCTGTGGAAATTCAGCTGTTAGTCCCTGGATAGCTACACCAATTCCTTACTATAGCCTTGTTCTTCCTTTAAAAAGAAATCGAAACCTGTATTTTTAACCTGAAAGTATCTATTAGTATCTGCAGTAAATGTGTATGAATCAGTTGTTCTCTGGCGAGCCTTTATCTAATGCCTAGAGGAGATGATTGCATTGCTGAGTTTAGAGAGAAAGAGAATGTATTGACTCTGGACCTACTGTGTGTATCTGAGCTGGTGGTGAGCTGCCAGGGAAGGCTGATGTCTGCAGGGTTCATGCCAGACTAAGGATACCAACCCCACTGTGAAGTAATTAGAAATCCTTCCCTTCACAATTTTATTTCTGATCATTCTTTTTAAAGCCATCGGTATGATTGTGTCCCCTTATTCTAGACTAGACTGTGTACAACAGATAAGATTTTCAAATGAGACAGTAAGAAATAAAAAATAATTTTACAAACTGTAGATTACTTGGATTGAGGAAATTAGAAACACACTAAGGTAAAAGGTACACACAACCAGCATTTCTTTTCAACACCTGATGAGCAGTTTAAACATTTGGCTTCTTTCCATTTGTTGCTTACTCTGCTAAAGAAAGCTATAGTAATTTTGAAAAAAAATAATATAAATTGAACTTTAGTGGTTTGCATCTTTAACATACAAGATGCAATTCCAGAATGATTGTCTTCTTTCTTTCTTTTTTTTTGACAAGGGTCACCAGAATGTAATGCTGTTCGCAAATTTCAGAAATTCATATACTCCTAGTTATCATTTCTCTGTTCTTTTCTTTCTTCAGGGAAAACTCAGGTCCCCTATGCTTCAGTAACTCATGTTGTCAGGAGAACAGTCTGACAAATCACATGTATAATCCTGACTCTTTCTCCTGTTTTCGATTAGCATCTATGGGTCTTGCAGATATGATGTCTCCTGGTGAATCCAAATTGCCCATGCCTGTCAAAGCAGATGGCAAAGAAGAAGGCACTCCACAATCTGAGAGCAAGTCGAAGGTACTTCTTCCCCTGCATGCATGTGGGTGCTGCCTGGCCAAAGCTGCTCTGCTGTTATCTCTTCTCTGGTGTTGGCTACATTTTTTTTTTCCACTTGGTTTCTTCTCTTCTGCATGCCTTCATTTTGTGAATATATTCGTATTCTTTTCTTTCCCCACCCCCTTCATGGTGTGGATCTGAAAGTTACTAGTTCTTATGGCATTAACTCATGTTCGGGGGAGGGGGTGGAGGGACAAGACCCACCTGAGAGAACTGCTTCGGGGGTGGGGAGAAGTAAGGGATCTTGCCTGGTTTTGACACTTGCAGCCATTTTCTCTGCCTTCAGTTTATAGCTTCCTGTTTTGGCCGCCTCAGCAACAACAACATACTTAATATTTTGCTTTTCTGCCTTATTTGATAAATAAGGTGAACAGCCTTTTTTTTTTTTTCTTTCTTTCTTTCATAAGGGGTAACCCATGCTTAGCATTCCATGTAAGCTTGAAGTAAGCATGGTGGCTTTATGGCCTTATCCAGCATCCAGCAAACTTACAAAATCATACTAATTAAGAATGTTGTTTTAGTACCTTTATATATGTGTGTTTGTGTGTGTTTGTACATGTCTTCATATACATATATATATATGTATATATATATATATATCAGTCTGTTAAACTGGATGTATTTTTGTTATTTTAAATAAAGTTTGCCCTACCTTTGTCTTTTTTTTTTTTATTCCTCTACCACAGGATAGCTACAGCTCTCAGGGTATTTCTCAGCCCCCAACCCCAGGCAACCTGCCAGTCCCTTCCCCAATGTCCCCCAGCTCTGCTAGCATCTCCTCCTTTCATGGAGATGAGAGCGATAGCATTAGCAGCCCAGGCTGGCCAAAGACTCCATCAAGCCCTGTAAGTGGCTCTGGTTGTTTGTTTTTTTACTTTTTTGTTTTTCTGGGGGTTTTTGGATAATTAATTCTACTTTAATGCTTGCTTGTTGATTTGTTTTATAATACTTTTTCTTCATTATTAATCCATGAAAAGGTTTTCTTTGTCAATAATTGCATTAGTAATAAAATGAGTAGAGTTTGAATTGTAGAAGTTGATTTCTAGTAATGACAGCTGCTCTATGACGAAGAAGGACTTCTGTACCAAGGTGCATTTCTGATGCTGGGCCCTAATTCCTCCACACAGAGATGTGCATTCACGGAGGGTCCTTCAAACAATTTACTTCTCTGATTACATGGGAACTAATAGTAGTCATGTACTAAGTGACGCATTTGTCCCCAGACTTGTTTGTCATGGGCTGTTCCATCCAAAACATCTTATTTTAAACTGCTTGCCTAAAACAGATGTATAAATATTACAAAATCTGGATATGGTTTAGCATAACATCAGCCTGTTTTGTTTTTGGATCATATGTCTGAAATTAACAATGAAGTGGTAGCCGGGGATTTAGCTCAATGGTGCTGCGCCTGCCTGGTAAGCGCAAGGTCCTGAGTTCAATTCCCGGTACCAAAAAAATGAAGTTGTAGAATTATTAGTGCATGTAAATTTTTAGATTAATAGTATATAGCTACATTGGAGTCAGTTGAAAACAAAACTGGTGTTTTGCACAAGACTGCTGGTAATCTTGAAAAAAGTGTTGATTGATATATGATATCTAAATGACAGAAATGGTAATATACATATCACGGAAATCTTTAAACCTTAATGTTCTTCTGACCTTAGAGTTGGGCCTTTATTTTCCTACTAAAGAAATTAATTCTGTGCCATTAAAAAAAAAATGAGTAATGTGCTGTTGTAACCTTTATTTTATATTCATATGGGGAACCAAAAGATCTTTTAAAAAAATTTAACATGCAGTTAGTTGCCAAGGAGGCTTAATTAACATGTTAATTTTTGTAAGACGATATATTGAAGAGTATAGCTCAGGCAAAGTGAGTTGGAGGGAAGAAGACCCTCGCTGTGCCAAATCTGGCAATCTAGTCAAAATCCAAAAGAAGGCTGCTATTAATTATCCATTCACTGGGTTAAACAGAAAGAGCTTGGGGGTTTGAAGAATTGCTTGTTCTAATAAATGTTTGTGAAATTCACATGGAGCTTTGGTGTAACCAGCCCCTTTCCTTTTCAGAGGAAGGAAAGGTGCTCTGTGTTCTCACCTTCCCTGTAGATGTATTTCAAGTTTGCCACACTGGCTGAAGCAGAGCTAAAGGGAAGGGAGAACCAGACCCCTTCCTTTGGATTTCTTTGTGTTATTTGCTTTGAGTCTCAGAAGGCAGCCAATATTACATGAAATTTTTCCCATAACCCACCCTTTTTGTTTTGTTTTTTTTCTTTCACTTTGTAATAGGAAAAAGCATTTTCAATCAGTACTCCTCTTAAGTGAACATGTAGACATCAAATAGCTTTCCAAAAACATTTGTGTATTGGCTGAGGCAAAACTTCAGAGATGGAAAATAATAATCTTTAAAATTTAAGATGATAATTAAGAATGATACTTATTAGGGCCGGGGATTTAGCTCAGTGGTTCCGCCTACTTCACAAGTGGAAGGTCCCAAGTTCAATCCCCGTACCAAAAAAAATAAAAATAAAAGAATGATTACTCATTAAAAACAAAAACTGCTACTAGATCATGTTATACGTTTAAATTTTCATCTTGCTGGTCTCAGAAATATAAAGAATCACTGAGATATATACTGTAACTTACTAGTCAGATTGTCTCCACTGAGTCCTGTAGAAAATTCTTGTCAGAAACTACTTTGTACTTAAATATAAAAGAATAGAAAACCAAATTGTTGACCCCATTTTGATTATAATACAATTACACTTGAAGTTGCCTATTAATTTTTAAAGTATTTCTACATACATTATCACTTCCTGAACCATAATTGTTTTTTATTTGAGATTTTACAAGCAAACTTATGGCTCCAGTGTTAGATAAGGACAAGAAAAGCTGGGTATGCCAAAGTAGAAGATGTTAAACTCTTGCTATATGTTACAAAAATGGCCACTTTTTTCCTTTAATGAGTTGGTAATTCAGGAAGGGGACAAAGGAGAGTGTAATGAAAGACTTAATATCATCTCTGCTATCAGATCACTGAAAATACATGCAATTCAGAAATACTTGTTCTTTCTGAGGTACCACTGCCATTTGTGCTTGAAATTGCTCTTAATAGTGTCCTTAATAAAGCCTTTCTAACAGCATGCCTGAAATGGTCAAAATAAAAAAGCTGCTGGTGCTTTGACAGGGAGTTATAGACCAATATTGTTTTGTTACAAAACATTCTAAAATAAAAATAAATATTTGTCCATACACATACACATGTACATATACATATTACCAAGCATATGGTAAAGATTGCAAAAATGTAAATCTGCCTAAGAGGCTTGAGAAAATTTATTTTAGGCTTAATTAAAATATATGCAAGGAAAACATTTATGGCTTCATAAGACTGTCTTGCTGAAATTTTTTAGCATTTTCCAGTCTTTTTCTGACTCCATAAGAGTTTCAGAACAGTCGGACACAGTTTTTACAATGTTGAAGCAACACTAGGTAGTCTTTCGTTACCCAGTCTCTCTGAGAGTTAGTGTCCTTGCCTGTTTTTCAGTGGGTAAAGACCTTCATCTAGATGATCCCTCCTGGCTACTGTCTAAGGACAGGTAAGGGATGAGTTGAGCCCAGTCAGAGAGGAGTGTTGATATAGGTGCTCTTTATCTACAGAGTCTCCTCATGTTCTTTTTCTATGTTCAGACACCTAAGTCCTGAATGGTAGTAATTTGGCTCCTGAGCAAACCTTGGGCCTGGGGCTGAAGGTGTCAGATGCTAACAATAATCAGACCCTTTCTCAGCCTGCAGTCTTACTGATTGCCTCCACATTCACCTTGCTCTTTGACATACTGCATGTAGGAGTTTTGAACCAGCTGTTGGTTCGTATTTGAATGCTGCCAGACGTGTCAGTCCTGTTTCGTCTATTTGGGCATTGGTAGAACAAATACCTATGGAGGGCCATCAGTACAGGACACCGTGCTAAGTGTGGGCACTTCAGAACAAGAAGGAACTTCAAGTTTAGTAGAAAGAGTGAATGTCAGACAAATAACCACATGCAAAACATAGTTTTACACACTGTAATAAAGTACTGCAAAGGAAAGAAAAGGTGCAGTGGTGGCTTAAGACTTAGGCCAGGGTTTTGCAGGGCTTGAACAGAAGCCTGACTACTTCCATTAGAGGCAAAGGTATTTTTCTACATTACAGTGCATAAAAAATGCTTCATGGAAGATCTTAAAATTATTCAAAGGAAAACTATTATCTTCATTTTATTCCTATAATTTTAGGAGAATTGAGATAGTACAAGTTAATAAAGACAAGAAAAGTTAAGCTATAGATAGACAAGCCAAGTAAATCATTATCATAGGCCTGTTTCAGTTGTAAGAATTTTCTCCTTTCAAAAGCAGGAGCAAGCATTTCTTCACCCCATTCCTCTGTTCATGACTAACTATTCATCCAGAACCATTCCCCAGCTTTAGTTTAGAGAGGACCAGGCCAGAAATGATGGATGGATATTACACTCAGTATATTGGAAAAGCTAGTTGGAATAATTTTAAATTGAAATTATTGTTTTTATTCCTCTTATCCTTAAATAGAATCTCAAACTCTGTCTCTTAGTTATTCATAAGTGAATTGAAAGAGGACATTTTTTGTTTAACTGGTTGGTGAAGATAATGTTTTTCCCTCGTGTGTCTATTTCAGATTTTCATGTTTGAAAAACACATGCCTCTTCCCCCCTTTTTTTAGTGTACCTCCCCAAAAGACAATTCAATACTGGCATTTACCTGATAATTACCCTACTGTTAAAGATGCAGTGCTACAATATAGGAATCTGGTGTTGATGTTTAGCTTCCTTTTCTACTTAAATAATCCTTGGGTGTAAGAGTATGGAACATGAGTTTTAAAGGCGTATCATTTGGATGTATAATTTTTACATACCCTGAATGTATATATTATATATAAGCACAGATAGAATTTTTTTACATTTTTATCTAAAGTAATTTCTGTGTGACTTGAAGTTTAACCCTAATACCAAACTTAGTTCTAAAAGATACTATTTTTTAACATTCCTCATTTTTTATTTATACCAACTGTATCAACCATTTTTTAATCTCTTATATACAGATTTTATGCCTTAGTGATTCTAATCCCAGAGGCGTAATATTTGGCTAAAATGGTTTTGGAGCATGGTATATTAGAGGGAAAGTGGCCACTCCACAAGCTCTGAGATCTGTACCTTCAGGTGTCCTTTCTTAGGGCCTGACTTTTACTAGGGGCCACTTTGAGACAAGGTAACATCTAACTTCAAAGGCCATCATGTTACTAAACACCTTGGAGTTGAAAAGTATGTTTTAAACTATATCATGCTAAATTAAGAAAAAGAAAAGGGAAAACTTAACAAGAGCTCTGTTTAAAATAGTGGCTCTAGGGGCCGGGGATTTAGCTCAGTGGTTTCACTGCCTGCTGCACAAGCGCAAGGACTCAAGTTTGATCCCCAGTACCCTCCCCCCCCAAAAATAAAATAAAATAAAATAATGGCTCTACATTGCCAGTGACAGCCTAGTAAATATGCATTAAAAAATGAAATTCTTGTTTTGGAGAAATCTTTATTGAGAGTTTAGCAGTGATTTTGCACAATAACCTTGGTATTACAAATATTACAAATACATACATACTATTACAAAGATAGAGATATAAAAGATAGGGAAGAAATACAGTTGGTCTGTTTAGAGCTGTGTTACGTGTGGAAATGACATAATCCAGGGGTTAGGCTCAGGTGGTATTTTACTATCAAGTATAATCATATACTAAAAGACCAAGAGTTAGAGTATAAGCCACAGGAGAACATCAACACATATACATAAAAATAAATGTAGATATTTATACATAGATGTGCTGAGGATGTGGTCAATAAATAATTTGAGCATGGAATCTAAAGTAATATGTTGAGAAATCTATTACAATGATTATCTAACAGTACCTTACTCTGACAGAGAAGTGTAGGACATTTTGAGTAATGAAAGGTAGTTATCAAGTGCCAAAGCTTTGGCCAGCCATTTATTTATTTGTTTTTTTTGGGGTTTTTTTGGGGGGGGGTGGTACCAGGGATCGAACTCAGGTCCTTGCGCTTTCGAGGCAAGAGATGGAACCACTGAGCTAAATCCCCGGCCCTAGCCATTTATTTATATAGCTCTCCAGCAAGCTTGGAGTCATACCATGGTTGCTCTGCCTTGCAACCCACTTGATATTTTTCAGCAAACACGGTATGTTTGCTCCTCCGTATAATTTAGAGTTTTCATGACATACATTAGCTATTCTTGTTTTGACAAGAAAAATTAGGAGTGCATTTAATTTGGGAGCTCTATGATATTACATGTGAAGTTTTTAATTCACTTTGACCATTCTCTGAGTTAGCACCCTTTTATTTTTAAAAATTACACAAGACTTAATTGGAATTTTGCCTTCTGGGATTCAATGCTTATATCAAAGTTAAAAAGGGTTTTATTTTGGTTTAGTTTTTTAAGTGTCTAAAAGGGGGAGTTTGAACCCTTTTTAATAAGTTAAAAGTAAATTCTTAATGAAGAAAATGTATAGTTTGTGCCTGAACTAGTAGCCTTCATTCCTAATTGTTGTGTGATAGCAGTAGTTTTATAATCTTCTTGTATTTGTCAGCTCATTGCTTTTTTCTCACCTTCTTCCCTTCCCCCTGCCCTTCACCCCCATCACCACATATTCCTTCTGGCACCAGAAGTCCAGCTCATCCACCACTACAGGGGAGAAGATCACAAAGGTGTATGAGCTGGGGAATGAGCCAGAGAGGAAGCTGTGGGTCGACCGATACCTGACTTTCATGGAAGAGAGGGGCTCCCCTGTGTCCAGTCTGCCTGCAGTAGGCAAAAAGCCCCTGGACCTGTTCCGACTCTATGTTTGCGTCAAAGAAATTGGAGGTTTGGCACAGGTAAGCATGAGTGAATGAAGCAGGAGGCATTACAGATAGGCCCTTATAGCAGATTTGGTTTGGTTTGGTTTTGTAATATGTGGAATCAGTTTTTTTTCTCACAAAGGAAAAGCAAAGCCTGTGGCAAGTCACCTTCCTTGGCCCTGTATGTACGTGCTGGAAGGAGAAAGAGTTGGGAACCCTGGCTCTGCTACCAACTCCAGTGTTACCTCAACAGGTCATTTATTTGGACCTCATTTTCCTTACCTGAAAAATCGGACAGTTAGACTAGATTTTTCTTTAGGTGTCTTGCCAGCTCTAGAATTCTCTGGAATCTGCTGTGAGTTCATAGAGAGCAGAAATATTTTGCGAATGAATGAATTATCTGGATCATATGTAAATCAAATTCGATATTTCCTTCTATCCAGAACAACTTACTAACGAAGTTAAATCACACTAGTAAAGATGGGTCCACAATCTCTGGGCAGTGAGGAGACCCATGCTCTTATTTTCAGCAAGGCTAGGCCCAGAGTCAGAGGGGCAGGAGAGACACCCACATACAGATTATGGATGGTGCATGTGCCCGCTGGTACTCGCATAGCTCTCAGACTGAGTATCCCCCAAAGTTCATGCCCTACGCATGCCACTTTGCTCACCCTAGCCCCACTATTTTTTAGTAAGGAGTGTAGTTAGTGTGGATGTGTCTCATCATAGAAACAGTCCACTGTACCTTACTGTGGTCTTTACTTTTTGTATACCGACAGGGTACCTAAAGAATAAATAGGGAGATTCTTGATGAAGTACAATAGTGTAGTGGCCCAGGCACACTCTGTACCTGGACCAGGTCTTTCCCATCTCCCAGTAGTTCTCCATACTAGCTGTGTGTAAGAATCACCTGGGCAGCTTTCTAAAGCTGTCCACCTGGCTCCCAACCCACATTGAAGAAATAGAGCAGTCTGGGTCCCTAGTTGTTTAATAGGCAGAATTAGGTACCTGGTACCCCACCAAGGTTACAGGGGTCACTGACTAGTCAGGAGTCCTCTCATCCACAAATATCACTGAGGGTCTGCCATATCTCAGTGCTGCACTTCCAGGGTTTATAGGGGGGATTTTTGAGCCCTTCACTTAGGTACTAAACATCCCATGGGAGAACTGAGGCCTTTATCTTAAACTAGCTTCAGTGCCCTGCATAATCAGATGTCAAATTTTGTGACACAGCCCACCATGTGAGTGGTTGTCAGCAAAGGACGTGACCCAGACATACCTTCAACCCATACCTGGACCTCAAACCTTCTCCCTCTGCCCTTGGACTCCCCTGTACCTACTCTTGTGACAGAGACTTTAAAATTAAGACTAACTGTAACACAGTTGGATGTCGCCCATCAGTCCAGTGTAGTGTAGCTGTTATCTGGCTACCTTACTTGACTGCCCCAGCAGTGTGTATCACCAAGTCAAGTCTGCAGAGAAAAATGTGTCTGTGTTGCATATAGCTGGGGAGCATGGGAGGCGGTATCACACATGTCCCATTTCACTTTTTACCGAAGGGTCGTTAGATGTACTTGGAAACAGATGCTGCACCTATATACAGATGAGTTCAAAGACTTGCTTCTCAGGGTGTCCCAAGCAGCATGCTTACGATTTCTGAGGCATACTCTGCAGCTTTGTATTAAGAGCCAAAAGAGATAGGTCCCTGAGCATTCTATGATTTGTTTAGTATCCATCATTTGGTCTAAGTAAATGAGGTTAAAGAGCTTTTTGAGAAAGTTTGAATCCAGAACATCAGTATTTCATAAAAAATCACTGTCTCTTTAATCACCACGCAACAGAAGAGACATCAAAAGGCACAACCTTCCCCAAGTTATTTGCACGTCTTCATGTTTCATTCATGTGTTTAACCTCTCATAACCTGTTCCCAAGTAGGAAGCTGAAATAATGTCCCAAATCTTTATGTAACATCTCTGGATCTCTCTCGCCTCTTTACTTCTTCTCCTTTACAATGGTGGTATCTCCACCCTGAGTGGAATCAGACACTGGATAATCCTACACAACACACACAAAATAAAGATGTGCCCCTGCCCTGGCTGCTGAGCCGATGGAGAAACAGACCCTGCAGGGAGTGATGGCACTGTGTTGGCATTTTAAGTTGGTGGCATTTGGTGAAGAAGCCTCATCTACCTTTGCCCCAGTGCCAACTTTGCCCATGTCACAAGAAGCCTCTAGAGCAGTGAAGCCTTTAGAGCTTTCAATGATACAAATAGCCCGCTGCGGCACATGTGCCATAGGTTCGCCACCACTGTTCTAGGGGAGAGGATGACAGAAGGACAAAGCCAGTATTATAGGCTACCTATAGGAGCTGGTAGGAGGAAGCATTATTTTTATATCAGTGCTCGAACACTTAAATTGCAAAACAGTGCAGTCACTGCTCTTTAAATTAGTTTTAAACACTCTTTTTCTTAATTGCGGGGGTCGGGTAGGGATGAATATGTGCAAGAGTATCAGTCCATTTGCTCAAGCAGCAGCTCAGGAAGAGCCTGTGAGGCACTAGGAAATGCAGCTGGCACTGACTGGCAAGTGTGCCTTTCTGTAGTGATCAGCAGGTTCCTTAATGATTTTATAACTGTGAATGCTGTCTGTGCACTACTGAGTGGGAGTAAAGAACATTAGTTAAAAGAGGCAAATGAAAAAAAAGGAAACTAAGACATTAAGTGCTTTTTTGTCTCCTGGCTTTAAACAAGCCACTTTGCTGCAAACCAATGATCCTGCCTTTTTTTTTTTTCTTTTCTAGGTTAATAAAAACAAGAAATGGCGTGAGCTGGCAACTAACCTAAATGTTGGCACCTCAAGCAGTGCAGCAAGCTCCCTGAAAAAGCAGTATATCCAGTACCTATTTGCCTTTGAGTGCAAGATTGAAAGAGGGGAGGAGCCCCCACCAGAAGTCTTCAGCACAGGGGACACAAAGAAGCAGCCCAAGCTTCAGCCGCCATCTCCTGGTAAGTGGCAGCGCTACAGTTCGGCCGAGGAAAGCCAAAGGCACCACATGGTGGAAGCTGGAGTCTGGACATCTGTGCAGGGAGGGCAGAGACATAAAGCCGAGAGAGGACTCTGGATTTTCCAGGGTGAGTGGGGTCTCATTTTGTTATTTGATTGGACCTCGTCCCCTTGGCAGTGCTTTAAGGAAGAGAAATAAAATTTGGGATGTTACCATTTGCAGTCAGCATTTTGAAGGCACTATTCTTTTGCTTTACCTTATTTAATCAAATTAGACTTTGTATTCTGAGCTATATGCCTTTATTTCTTTACAAGAATTTTTGAATATTCTATGTAACTGGACTGTGCCACCCTACAGGCCTAACACATAGCTTGTGCTAGCTCTTTCTCGGCTTGGGACACTTAGATTTATACTTTAATGAAACAAAATTTGGGCTTAATTTTCTTTGTCCCCTGCTGAGCAAGTACTCACTGAGGGAACTCTGTGAACTGCCATGGTAAAGACCTCTATGGCCTGTTTCTGAAATGCAGCAGGCCAGTCAGCTGTGGTCCAGGCCAGAGCCAGAACAAGGCATGAAGGTCACACCTCCACAGCCAGTTGCTGCTGCCAGTGTCTCTCTGCCTCTCTACCTTGCTGTTGGAGACCTGTCATTCCTATGGCTCTCCTGCTGGCCTTGGTTCTCTCTATTAGGGTTTCAAATTAGAAATTACCATGTCATATATCCTGAAAACTGTGATACTAGTGGCAGGAATAAATTGCCATCATCCTTGGTTTTTCATGGTGAATTAATGCAGGTAAATCCCTCCATTCTCTGTTTGGCCACTGACCCTGTTGGGAAATGCCTTTATGATAGATCAAGTGTTTATGCCTAGAAACCAGAAAAAAAAGTCGTTTCCCTTTTAATAGTTTCCTCCAGCTGCTGTCTCAGTCAACACACTCCCATTGCGAATCAGAGGGGCTCATGTAAATACATTTATGCCCAAAGTGCACTTGCAGTGAATATGCTTAACTTTAGATCTGTAAATTCCAAGTTCAGGGAGAAATCCTCCAAACTAATCCCACCCTTCAGGATCCTGTCTTTGCCACTTAGGGTGTACCTGAAAAACTGAGAAATGTAATTTTTAAAATCACACATTATATTCAGTTCACAGAGTGAAAGAAGCTGCCTGTGAACAGCTCTGAAACTATTTTTCCAAAATAAAAACCCAGTGGGATGCAGGGACCAAAGTGGTGATGTCTGCAAAGATCTAAGGGTGTATTTTATTTGCCAGGAAAGAACTTGTGTCTCTGAATGGTCTGCAGTTGTGCACGGAGAATAGCTCTCGCAGCATGCCTTAGCCCTGGTACAGGAAGCCCTGTGGAGGCACAGATCCTCCAGAAAGCAGAGGCCTTGTTCTCCTAATAGATGGCTCTTTCCTATCCCCTTTTTCTAAACTGCTGCCTTTATGGCAGGATTATCATTTTAATGTCACAATGGAGATCGCATTGCTTATGCACTTCTTGGTCCAGATGGAGCCATGGTCCTTCCTGTGACATAGGAGGTAGTAGAAGCAACTCTCCTGTCTTGACTGTGAAGTCAATGGCCAATCTGGATAGCCCCCTTCAGAGTGCTCCAGACCTCACAGAGACCATAAAGTGAGTAGTAAACATCGGTGTTCCCACAGTCCAAAGCCAGACCTTTCACCCCTTGCACACATCAGGTGGCTTCTGTTGTTCTTGGACCATCATTGAGGAAAGTGTCACTGAAACATTTTTATTGTCAAAAAAGGAAAATAAATTATTCCTGTTTTCCATGTCAGAGTCTCATTTATTACATAATCTTTAAAAACTAATTTTCATAAAAAGTGTTTTTGGAAGTTTTCCCCTAAGAATACAATTATAGTTTATTCCTTACCAGCACATTCAGGCAAATTAAAAAGATTCATAAGAAACATTCTGGATGTTTTTCCAATGGTCTCTGAACCAACTGAAATCCTAAACCACTTGGCTATATTCTGAGAGCACCACAAGACATGAGTCTCTTGTCTGCTTTTGATTTGATGTGGCTCCTATAGATCCAGACCTCAATGTAGTTGATCACTGGAGACATGACATCCTTCACCTTTAGGGTTACATTGCAGAGGCACACTGGACCTCCAGGTGCATCAAAAGGAACCTAGGCCTTGGGGCACAATCTGCATCTCTAAGGCACCTGTAGGATCTCCTCACACTGAACCTGTGGGAGTTGTGGAGCACTTCCAGTCTAGGAATCAACCAACCCAGGTGGCCCTGCAGGCTGTAGGGAGTAGGGAGTTCAAAGGCCACCTGGGAGACGTGGGGCAGGGAGGGACAAGGAAGCTCCACTTTCAGTTAGTTAGTCTGTAACCAAAAACCCATCCATCTTTGCTGGCAGGTGGCTGACTGAATTTCTATTATTAGCTGACAGATGATGTCACAAAACCTGTCATGAATCCAACTAGGGAATCCTCAGTGGAAGATAAATGAGAAAGAGAGTAGGGTATAAACAAAGGTGCCCTCTGGTTGACCCCTAGTCACTAGAGCTGGGACACATCAGCTCTTCCCCCACCCTACTCCCCACACCTCTACCCAGCAGAACTAGGGCACCGGGTTCGTGCTGTGTAAATTATCTTCCCAGCTAGGAGCCTGGCTGTTCCATCTGAAGTGTGTGAATGTGCTTAACCTTAAGTAACCTTTCCATTGTTTACTTTAGAGTATACATTTGTAGCTTCTGGCAAAAGGTAGGGATGTCCTAGAGAGCATGCCAGCCTCCTCTGTTAATGGAGTTGCAAGAGGTTGTATTCATTTTTTTTTCCTAAAAGGAAAAGAAAAACACTGGCAAGAGTGAAGCATTTTTTCTTTCTTTTCTTTTTTTTTTATTAGCTGCAAATGTGAATACTTATAAGGGTCATTCTGAAATCACAGCCTCATAAACCATGTTTCCAGGGAAGCTATCCATGCTGGTGTGGAGTCTGCCTGATTTAAGAAGCAAATACTTTATTTGCAGCACTGTGTGCGCAGTAATGTCTGGATTATCTTACAAAAATTGTCTTAGTTACTTTTCTCTCATTGCTGAGACAAAATACCCGACACCCAAAGTTAAAAGAGGAAAGTTTTATTTAGCTCATGGTTTGTAGAACTTTCAGTCCATAATTGGCTGGCTCCAAGGCAGTGTGGCATGGCAGACAGGGATTGCAGAGAAGAATCAGTTCATGGTGGGCAGAAGGTAGCAGAAGCAACAAGGAACCATAACAGCATCTTTCTGTCCCTTTTATCTTATCCAGACTACTTAGGGTGGGTGCCATTCACACCCTTAATCTTAGTGCCCTTGAACCTAGCATTGCACCATCAGTCTGTTACAGCATCACATACTCTAGATCCAGCTGCCTCTGAAAAAGCGCTACTTAGGACTGCATGAGGCTTTGGGGACCATCTAGACACAACCCATAACAATACAACAAGCTACCTTACTCTTTTTTAATTCATTAAGTTTATTGGTACATTTTAGGTATACAATATGATGACATTCATCATTGGTTATTCTTTTATTATAGTCTATCTTTCTAATTTGCATTTCTGGGGTGTCACCAAAGTTTGATATGTAAGCAGGCATTAGTTTTTCTTCTTTCCCACATGTCCGAGAATTTCCCTCAGTGTCTGTCTCAAGTGCACAGGGCTGTGTCACATGTTGGGCCAGAGGCTAGCAGCCCTAATCCGGCTAGAAACATCTGTACTTGGTTGAGGCTTTCTGAGTAGATGTTATATTACTTTCCAATTCTGACTCCACAGTTTACTGTGTAATCTAGGATTTGTTTAACCTACATTTCCTCTGAGGTAAAATGTTAACAGTGGTAATTGTAGTGAGGGTTGGGCACTCCAGAGGAAAGGAAGTATAACCAGTAGCATGGAAATGTTATTTTTGTTAGCAGTAATCCTGTGTTGGTTACAGTTCTAAATGTGTTGATTGTGTTCTCCATGAGGGCAGGGGCTCTTGTCTTGTCAGTTTGCTGAACTTGCATATTTAAGAATTAGAAAGGAGCCTAAAATACAGTAGGCACATTATTCATTCAGTAGGTATTTGTTTAATCAGCAAACCAAACCAGTAAGTATTATATATCTAACATGCTAAGGATGAGGATAGATGATAAAACTGGAGACCACAAAATATTTTGTTTTTCCTATAAGGCAAAGTTAATTGATTTTTCAAGAATCCCACTTGAGTTTTGAAAAAACTGCTGAATTCTGAGCTGTGTTATTATAATGTAATTATAGTTTAAAGCAGAATCTCAGAACCCAAGAGCAACATTAAAAAACTCAAACCCAATATGACTTGTGCTTTTTAATAACAAATCTGATTTCATAGCTCAAAAAATAAGTGTTTTAGGGCTGTGGATGCAGCTCAGTGGTAGAAAGCTTCCCTGGGGTGCACAAGAAGCTGGGATCAATCCCCAGTACTGCAGTGGGGGGAGGAGGGAGAGGGAGAGGGAAGGACGGAGGGGTGGGAGAGAGGGTGAGAGGATGAGAAAGAGGAAGAGGAAGAGGAAGCAGGGAGGGAGAAACCCAAAGAGCAGACAGTAGATATCCAGGTTTTGGGTGGTATTAAAATAATGTAAGGCACATTATTAATTTGTGTTACTGCTTTTCAAATTAAACATTGCTCATTGCCCAACACTAGGAGCTATGTTCTCTAAATTTTACAACACCACAATAGTCTATTAATTTATGTACCAAAAATTTCATCCTATTTCCCTTTATTTACATTGACTATCTCTAGTGTAGACAACACTGAAATAAACATTTTATTGCCTAAAGCCTTCTTTTTATTAGATTACTTTCTTGGGATAAATACCTAGAAAAACAATTATCAAAAGATTTAACTGTGTTTTATGGTCTACAAATGAAACTTATTTCCAAATATTTTACTTAAAAAACTTACTAAGGGCTGAGGTTCAGTAATAGAGCCCTCGCCTAGCATGCATAAGGGCCTAGGTTCACTGCCCTGCCCACACACATACGCACACCAAAAAACTCATCGTAATTTTCACCATAAATAGCATAATAGCATTTTACTACATTGCTATCCACAGTGAACATTAGTATTTCTAGTAGATGGTGTCTTATTTTAAATTATGTTTTTTACATACGTAACTATAAGAATAAGCTTCCTTGATAACCTCTAGTTTCTCTCCCTTCCCTTTCACTTAACCATGTCAGCTAACTCAGGATCCTTGCAAGGCCCACAAACACCACAGTCAACGGGGAGCAACTCCATGGCAGAGGTTCCGGGTGACCTGAAGCCACCTACCCCAGCCTCCACTCCTCATGGACAGATTGCCCCAATGCAAGGTGGAAGGTATGTGCAGAGAACTCCATGAGCCATACAGTATCAGATTTGTTTTGTCTTTTGATTTTTTTGGAGCAACCTTCATAGAAAATAAAAATGATTTTCCCTAGTGAGTTTTAAATATTGATCAGTACTAATTTTATTCATGTAATTTATTTTGAATGGCTTATACATTTATAGATTTTAAGATTGGTTTGTTTTCTAGTATTTTTAGAGATAACTCCTGCTATATCATTAAGCTTTTTTTATCTCTTCAGAAGCAGTACAATCAGTGTGCATGACCCATTCTCAGATGTGAGTGATTCATCGTTCCCAAAAAGGAATTCCATGACTCCAAATGCCCCCTACCAGCAGGGCATGAGCATGCCAGACATGATGGGCAGGATGCCCTATGAACCAAACAAGGACCCATTTGGTGGAATGAGAAAAGGTATGGTCTAGGGGAATCACCTCTCTGCTGCTCTATAACCAGTGTACCTATTCATTCAGAGCATCTTAAGGTACCCGCCACCTACGTGCAACATCTTCCACCTTCCCTCCCTGTCTGTGACCTTGGAAAAAGTATTTAGCATCTCTGTGCCTTACTTTCCTCATCTAGAAATTGAGAAAATAACAAGACTTGCTTGAAAGGTATTGTGAGGATTAGTTAAACCTATGCCCACATAGACTGTGAAAGAGTGGTGAGCAGCCACTGATGAAAGTATGCATTTGTGTATCTGACATCACCAGCATTGTTGTTATGTCACTGTGAGCCAGGGTAGTGTTGGATTCTAGGTAGCATAGTAGTAAATCACACGTAGTCCCTATTTTCAACTAGCAGAGTCTTGGGAAGAAAAAAATATCCAAATACAACTTCACCACAAATGTGTAAGTAAAGATCATGGTTGGTGGAAGAAAGGATATAGGTAGCAATGATGCTCAGTGTGGCAGTGGGAGGCAGGGAAGCTAGGAGATCAGGTCGGAGGGGAGGGCTTTGAGGAAATGGCAGTTATGTACTCTGACCTGAAGAGTGAGGGTGAGGACAAGCAGAGAGGGCAGGAGCCCTGGCAGGAGGAACAGGTACCTGGAGCATAATGAGCATGGGGCACACAGACTGAGGGTATTGACCATTTGGGCCAGGGTCTTTCGGCCTTTATAGCAGATTGATGAGTCTGTGTTTTCTACCAGATGAGAGATGTTATGTGGAGAAGTGAGATGATTTGATTTTTGTGAAAATAAGTAAATAACTGGCCAGTATGGAGCATGCATTGAAAGGGGTGAGGGTGGATTGAGGGGGCAGGTATGCAATAGTTTAGGGAGAGAGAGAACACATTGGGGTTAGAGACCAACAGTGGAGAAAGGACCACTGTTACATGTTTTGGAAGTACCAATGGATTGGACATTGGGGCTGCAGAGCTCAGTGACAGTGATGGAAAGACATGTCTGGTTGCAATGAGAATAGTTAGGAAAGGAGCAGGGTCAAGAGGGAAATCAAGTTGCTGGGTAGTGCCCTGCATGTCTAGAAGCTGGGCAAAGGTTGGAATTAGTTGTAATTTTGGACCACTGAACATAGAAACAGTGTCTGCCACTGTGGCATTAATGACTTCATTGAGGAAGAAGGTGTAGGAGAGTTCCTAGTGACATTAGGACACACTAAGGTAAGCTATTCCTTTATGCTTGCTAACCCGAAGGCTGAGTCTTCATTGAGATTGTGACTGAGCCATTGCTGTTAGCTCCTCCCTCAGCAGGTCAGGTCCAGTTGGAAACCTGGTACTTTGCTTTTTGACATTCTTCCAAATACAGATGAGTCCTGTGAAATTAAGGCATGATGTGAATATTATTGGAAAAAAAATACAGAAAAAATTGTGGATAGTAATTTTATGCAACTACTCATTCTGGGATCCCTTAAATAATGGTACCTGTGTGGTATTTGGATGTTGGAGTATATAAACTTCTTGTTATATTATCTGAGTAAAGAGAAGCATAAAGCCCAAAGCCTTGGCTTTCACAAATATTATGGGCTAATGAGAAATGAAAATGAAGAATCTTAAAAATTTTACTATTGGCCATATACCACTAAACAACTGAGATTTATAATTATTTTGTGTGTAATTCAGATAAATTATATAAAGCAAGATAATCTATAATTTTTTCCTTTCAAGAGATTCAGGGCTACTTATTCTAAATAAAGATTTTACAGAATATGCAATAAATATATAAGCTCAGAAAGTTAAAAGCTTTGCCAACGTTAGGTGTTATTTTTCTTAGTAGTACTAGATACTAGGTAGAACATTTTATTAGTGCTTTTTTATGTCTATCACATTTTTAGACTGCAAATATTACAATAACAAACAAAAAAATTAGTACTATTTGGAATCTGGCCTCAAAATCTATTGTGAGCCACCTCAGTATCCTGCCTCTATGCAATAGTAGACAACAAAACTTGTATTTCTCTGTGTCCTTATGCCTATAGTTTTTCTTATAAAAATGAATTTGAAGGTGGAAAATGATTGTGGGGATACCTTACTAGGCACACCCATGGATATATAATGTGTTTTCATCACGTAAGTGATAAGATGACTGATATCATCTCTAGTATATTTCAGTTAACCTGCTACCTTACAATATTAATATATTTACTACTAGATTAAAATTGATAAACACAAAAATCTACAAGAAATGGATTTTCTTAAACTTAAATCCCTGTTGTGATAAAGTTTTCCATTGCTTAGCTTGCCTTATTCTGTAAGTGAGCTTGGAAGGGCTCTGATTAGGCCATCAGTGGAAAGCATGTTTTTTGATGTTTCTGCCACTGAGAAGGTGGCTGGTGTGGGTGTCCCTGGTACCATGGTGAATCTGACAGTCAGGAGCCAACCCTGCCTGTTCACCTACCTGCAGCACCATGCTCATTTCTTTAACTCACTGAGGCACTGCTGGTGGATGGTGTATAAGTGAACATATTTAGGTATCATTTAATTAATATATTTTCATATCTGTTAATATGTGTACTTTTTAATTGAATGCCTACATCCCAATACTCTAGTACTCTAGTACTAATATTTTGTTGTTCTAAACAGAAATTCAGGGATTGTTGAAGTAACACTGAAAGCTATTCCTGTGCAATAGAATAGAAATGGGATTGTTCAGTAAAACGATAGGAATTTTTTTTCCTTTTACTAAGTATTTCAGTAATCTGATAAAACTGCCTCAAAATTTAGTGGCACTAACCAGCAGCCCTTAACTCTGTCTCAGGTGTTTGTCATGGTCTGGGTAGTTCTTCACATGTTGGCCAAGACATTGAGGCTGCTGCTGGAACTGGGGTGTCTTTTGAGTTGCCATGTTATCAGAGGCTTCTCTTGGGGACTCTTCTGACACTTTTGGTGGGGACCACCCCTATGGGGCCTTTCCACATAGCTTCTTGGGTGCCCATGATGCTGTGGATGGGTCTCAGGAAGCTTCCAAGGGGACATGCCCCAATTGCAGGCTCTTTTGCACCTTGGCTTGCACCCATTTGCCAGTGCTCTATTGGTCAGCATTAGTCACATGACCCTGCCTAGAGTCATTGTAGGAAAAGACCTCCCAGGCTGTGAATTTGGGGGGTTGTAAAGGACAGCCTACCATGGCAAGTACTGGTAAAGGTTGTACCAGTTCAATGTTCTCAGCAAGAATGCATGAGTTTTCATTCTCTTACTAAGAATGAGTATTAGCAGTCCATTTTATATTTGCCAGTTAGAGGTTGACCACCAGAAAAAAAAAGCCCTCATAATTGTTTTAACAAGGATGTCTTTATTAGTGAGCTCACATATTTTCATGTTTTGAGTAACCATTTAGTTTTCTTTTTCTGTGAATGGGTTTGCCCATTTTTAATTTGTTGTCTTTTTTATTCCTATTGACTTTTAAGAACTCTTTATGTATTAGGGACCTAAGCTACTTAATTTTAGTTATGACACTTGATTTTTATCTGTTTTTGTGTCTATAAAATGGAAAGTAATTTCAAAACTGGTTCTACCACAGGCTGCCATGAGATCAGCGGGTAAAGTGGGTGGAAGCACACTGCCCGGTGACATGCACTGTTACCATGTCAGGCTTCAACATTTGCCTCACTGCCAACCTAACAGAATTTATTGGGGCACAAAATTTTAATCTGCTTTTACCTCACATGTTATAGAATGAAGAGAGGTAGTAGTATCATGTATCAGTAACAATTTACTGTATATTAAAATGTTTAATTCACCTGTAGACTAGTTTCTGGACCTGACCCACTTTCCTTCAGGCTCTGAGCTGATGCTAATTTGCATATAGAACTTCATCAACACTCGTTCCTCTTTTAGAAATAATCATATCTCATCCCATCTTGAGGTATACTTAGCTCTTATAATTCTTATAATTGTTTTATCCTGATTTTGAAGAATGTCCATGCATGTGTATTTATTTATTTAAGGTTTTCAGGGTTTTTTTCCTATAAGGAAAGGGAACTAACTTTATATATATAGTCTCATGTCGACACAATCACTTCATAATTTGGGTTTGTTTTTTTTTGGTACCAGGGATCGAACTCTGGACCTTGCGCTTGCGAGGCAGGTGCCAGAACCACTGAGCTAAATCTCCAGCCCAACACAATCACTTCATGAGACGCTATGACTGACCTCATTTTATACACAAGAAGTACACTTAGAAGTTAGTGACTTGTCTACATGGTAATAGATCTGGGCCTGTATAAGTTTCTATACTGCTGCATAACAGGTGCCCACAGACTCAGCAGCTGGAAACAGCAGAGATATAATCTCCTAGCATCTGGGTCAGGAATCCCCCTGCATGGCTGGGCCCTCTCCTCAGAGCCCACATGCTAAAGTCGAGCTCTTGGCCAAGACCAAGGGCTCCTCTGAGGCTCCAAGTCTTTTGGATTCATTCAGGTTGTTGGTAAATTTTTTATAAGCCAAAGTGGCTATTTTTTGTTGACTGCCCTCTCCTTCCTAATGTGGCCCTCTCCACAGCATGGCTGATGCTTCTTCAGTAATAGTAGAAGAAGGCCTGGAGCTAGCCCCATCTCTCACCTGTAAACCCAGATGAAAGGGCTCTCTGGATATATTACTCTCCCTTTCCTTGAATCAAAGTCACCTGATTATTTACTTTACATCTGTGAAATCTCTCTTGCCACATAACAGTCCGTAATCATGAGGTCAAGAGCCCATCATGTTCCTAGGTTCTCCCCATACTCAAGGCAAGGGGCTTATGCAAGATATGCACTGTTGTAGGCAAGGTGTCTTTGGGGCTGTCTTAGGATTCTGCTCTCATAGGACCCATCTGACTTCAGGCCTTATGCTCTCTCATTGGCACTGTGGTCAGCTGAGGACAGAGAACACAGAAATTACCAGGAGGAATCCATGAGCCCTTTGACCTTTGAAAATACTTAATTTTGTGCCTCTTTTTTTGAAATATTGCAGTGCCTGGAAGTAGTGAGCCCTTTATGACACAAGGACAGATGCCCAACAGTAGCATGCAGGACATGTATAACCAAAGTCCCTCAGGAGCAATGTCCAATCTGGGCATGGGGCAGCGGCAGCAGTTTCCTTATGGGGCCAGTTATGACCGGAGGTGAGTATTCTTTGAGAGAAAGGTAAGATGATTCACTAGAAAGTATGGTTTACACACACACACACACACACACACACACACACACACACATATCTCTGAGCCCTATCAGCTAAACCACTGATGGCAACGTAGTATCCTTTACTGCCAGAGTTATTCCTGATCTGATGTGATGGTTTAGGTTGCTTCCTTCAGTGGATGGCTATTGCACACTAAGAAGAAAGCCCTTGTTCCCAGGCAGCCAGGTGATTCTGTGTTTTTTTAATTGTTTGTTTTCTGTTTTGTATGGTACTAGGAATTGAACCCAGGGCCTTTGCACTATCCCCAGCTGTTTTTTTCCTAGCAATATCCCCAGCTATTTTTCATTTTGATACAGAGTCCTCCTAAGTTGCCCAGCCTGGACTCAAACTTCCAGTAGTCCTGCCTCAGCCTCCTAGAATGCTCGGATTGCAGGTATACATCACCACACCCAGTGGTGTGTGTTTTTATATGCCAGTGCTCTGAAGCATAAATTAGGTATTCAGGACTGGCCTGATTAAGGTAGGCATCTTCTCCCCAAGAACTCAAGAGCCACATCTGCCCCACAGCACCCCACACCAGTGCAACCAGCACCCACTTCCCTCTGTGAGGCAGCCACTGTCACAATGAGGTGGCTAAGCTGCAGCCAGATGTAACTCCTCTGGGAACTACCAGATTCCCCTGCATCCCTTGGGGATGTCTGTAGTGGTAGTCACACTCCACTCTCAGCCTTCTAGAAAGGACTTCAGGGGCTGCATTTTCAGATGTTGCCATTCTTCCTGTTAAAAAGAGGGTGCACTTCACTCTTGATAAGCATCTTTGAGAGGGCCCACCACGCAGTTGCAAAAACCTCTCCAAAGGAATTCATCTCTTTTTGGGGGGTATGTGTTAAAATAATGTAATTTCCCTGTACATTTCTGTCTACATGAGAAATCAAGATATGCACTTTACAGTATTGACCTGTTTTGCGACATTCAAGTCAATTCAGATGGCAAAAGTAGAATTCAGTCACTAGTGAAATGTTTAAATAAAAATTAAACAAAAAAGTATCTTTTAAAAAATAATCTTCCACAATGCAATAAATTGCAAATCACTGAAATTTAGATGATTTCAGTTCAGCTTTTGGCTTCAAAATTTGGACACAGTAAGCAAAAAAGCGTTGGCAGAATTTCTATCTGTTTTTGCGTTTTTCTTTCTTGCTTCAATTACTGGTTACACTGTTTAAAGACGATGATGGAGGTGCTCTTGCATGACCTGTAGCCTTGAGATGGTCAAAACGCTTATTCTGGGATAGAAACTCACTATGGCAGGTTGTACAGCTGATAAGAACATCACTCTGTACTTGTGGTTCAGCAGGTACTTGGACAGATTTTTCATATCTTTGGTTTTCTTTCCTTTGGATTTAGCAATACTTTTAGCTTCACTTTTTGGATCATCACATGGTTCAGTGGACTCTGTGACACTGACATTTTCTAGAGAACTATCTTCTAATTCTTTGGCATTGTCTTGGTTTAAGTTAGTATCCTCTAGATCAAGCTTTTCTCCTTCTCTAGTTCTACTTTTTTTTTTTTTGGTACCAGGGATCGAACTCGGGTCCTTGTGCTTGCGCAGCAGGTGGTGAAACCACTGAGCTAAATCCCCGGCCCCTGCAGTTTCACTTTCATTGAAACTGTCATCATAAGTCTGTGGTGGCTTCTGTTTCTTTTTCTTCTGTTTTTTAGGAGGCTTTTGTTTTGGTATATCTTCCATTTCTTCCTCAGAATTGGCATTCAATAGATTTTCATCTACTTGAGATCCTGAAAAATTCTCTTCCTCCTCTAACTGTTGTTTCAACGAGGCAACCATTTCCCAGTGTTTCTTTGACTTTTCATGATTCTTCATGGCCTTTTCTGACTTGAAAGATTTATCACATACTGGACAGTAAAGGTTATCATAAAACTCAACTTCCTCAGCCTCATCACTGTCTTTACCATCCTGTCCGTCTTTGAGTTCATGTTCCTCCGTTTCATTTTCATCTGATCCATCTCCAAACTCCTTGTCATACCATGCCTCCATCTCCTGGAGCTCCTTCTCCATACTAGCCATGGTCATCCAGCTCTGTTCTCTGTACTCCGCCAGTTTGGCCTGCTTGAGCTTCTGCTGCCGCCTCATCTCCTCCCCCTTCCTGGCCTTCTGAGCATTCTGTTCCTCTACAAGCTTCTGATGAGCCTGCACTCTCTTACCTCTTTTACGAATAAAAGGTACCAGCTGACACACAAACTCATTTTCTCTTTTCTGGCTTTGTCTCAAATTTTTGTTTTCTTTTTCCATGGCTCACTTTTCCCAATGGTTTGATGCTTAGGGTATCATATTCTTCCTTCTAGGCAAAGTTCTTTTGAGTACAAACACTTTGCCAATAAGCGTAGAAAGGGTGGACTACTGTATCATAATCACTCTGGGGAGTCTCTGAAAGTTGGAAAATCCTCAACATCCTCCTCAAATACAGATTCTAGTTCTTCCTTTGCAATCATTTCAAAAACATTATGATACACTGTGTAAAAGCCCTTTTCATCATCTCCATAACCAGAATAACAGTTAACAGTGAAATAGTGAAGCAAATCTAAGCTGTCATCTTGATATTCTCCATCAAGCCCTCCTTTAAGTAAGGCTTCTCTATGATTATCATACCATGCTCTTTCTTGAGGGTCACTCAACACATCATATGGTGCTTTGATTAATTTAAATTGTTCAGCTGCTTCTGCAGCGTTATCCAAATTTTTATCCGGGTGCCATTTCAGGGCCAGTTTGCAATAGGCCTTCTTGAGCAACTCGCTGGTGTCGCGCCCCACCCCCAGCGCCTTGCAGTGACACTTCATCGCCAGGCCTGACTGGGGTCTGCAGCCGGGGCCCGGCGCGGGCCAGGGGCCAAGACCAGGCCAGGGCCCGAACTGCGTCGGCGCCGGCTATGCCCTCCTCCAGGGGGAGCCAGTGAGCGCGGTGGCGCGCAGCGGTGGGCCAAAAGAATCCATCTTGACTTGGAGGTGATAGGGCAGCCACAGGACGAACCAGACTGGTTCTAGTTAGGTGAGAGGCAGGAGGATCTTTGAGATGATGAGGAGAATTCATCAGAAACCAAGCCCTGCACTGGTGGCATGGGGTGGACTTCATCTGTGCCTCAGGTTTAATATTTACTGTCACAGAAGCCCTTCCTGTGTTGGTGTATTCTCTGCCTCCTTAGTAAGGGAAATGCTCAAAGCAAGATTTAATATAACATTTATGATTCTTTAAAGGAAAAAAATGGAGGCATAGGAGAGTGCCCTTTTCCTCACCATGGCCACATTGGCATGCAGGCAGGGACAAATCTGGCTTTTGGGTCTCTACCTCCAGGATGTGGGCGGTTCAATTTGGTTCTGAAAGTCCAGGAAAAGCTACTGCATTTTTGTTGCTGTTTGCTAATGAGAGGAAAACAACTGTACTGGGACATGTATTCCTTTTTGTTTGTTTGTTTGGTACTGGGGATCGAACTCAGGTCTTTGTGTCTGCATAGCAGGCGGTGAAACCACTGAGCTAAATCCCCAGCTCACGGGGACATGTATTCTTAAAGAATCTCAATTAAATCTGCTTGTCTGTCCCTTCTAGAATGCTTCCTGAAGCACTGCATGGCCTAGGTTTAAAAGCGGTTTTGGTTCTACCACATTAGAGAGAGATTTACCTCATTAAATTTTGTCTTCTGAGAAATACTACTTCTCCAGCTTAAAATGTATTCATGTCAATTGTACTGTATTTCTTTCTTTTCTCCAAACTATAAACTTCCTTCTAAGTAATCATGGTAGTTAACAAAAACTTCCCCTGTGCCTATCTTACATATAATATTCTAAAAATTCATTTCATTTCTTATTACTTGGTCAGATTAGGAATATATTTAATCCAATTATTCTGTCTTAAAAGATTCAGTGTTACTAGGTTAACCAATTTATTTTTCACAATTCCCAATCTGTTGCTTTTGAAAACATGCTTCTCTATATATGTGCGTGTGTGTGTGCATAGTGCCAGAAATCCAACCCTGTGCCTCACACATACTAGGCAAGTGCTCTACCACTGAACTACATCCCCAGCCCAAAATGTGGTAGTTTTGATACTATTTATACTCTCTCAATATAGTAGCGGTTGGAAAAAATAGTTGTATTGCTCATTCCTTTTCTTTTTTGTTTGTTTGGGGTTTTTTTGGTACCAGGGATCAAACTCAGGTCCTTGCGCTTGCACAGCAGGTGGCGAAACCACTGAGCTAAATCCCTGGCCCCTGTTGGTTTGTTTTTTGAGACAGTACTATGTCATTCAGGGTGGCCTTGAACTCACTATATACCCCCATGCTGGCCTCAAACTTGCAATCCTCCTGCCTCAGCCTCCCTTGGGCTCAATTACAAGCATGCACCACCATGCCCAGCTTTTTTTTTTTTTGTATTATTCTTCCTTTGTTAAAATTTAACAGGACCATAGTTAAATCATTGCTCCTATTCTATTCTGTAACCTTTTTAGTCACAGAACTTTGAAATTTGTGAATACTTATGTATATATAATTATTAACTGACTCAGCATCATTGGAATTAATTTTGAATTATGTCTTTAAAAACTTAAATGTTTTATAATCATAATGAGAATGTGAAAAGTAGAAACATTTTCCATGTTTTGGTACTTTTAGAAATACTGCTTTTGGCCGGGGATTTAGCCCAGTGGCACCGCGCCTGCTTTGCAAGCGCAAGGTCCTGAGTTTGATCCCCAGTACTGGGGGGGAAAAAATACTGCTTTTGAGTCCTAGATTCTTTTTGCTTCTTTCTTTCATCAGTGCCTCCCTGACAGCGTTGTGTGGCACTTGGTACAGTAAACTTCAGTGGATAGGTGGGGCTTCTGCCTCAAAGGCTCAGACAAGTGCTCACAGGGTGCCTGCCTGTTCAACCAGTATTCCTCTGACACCTATTAACCAACAGCCCAACCCAGGAGTTTGGCACCACTCCCAGAGGGTGTTGCCATCCCTCTTGCTAGGAGTTCCAGTGCAGCTGCCACTCAGGGAGCGCCTGTCAAGAGCCACATATGGTGAGGAAAAGACAAAGCCATTGCGAGTAGAGTTTCCAAAAATGGATTGTTCATGTTCCTGGTTACCTGGAGTCCTCTGCAAATTAAGCTTTCTTTGAATGCCTTGTTCTAGGCATGAACCTTATGGGCAGCAGTATCCAGGCCAAGGTCCTCCCGCAGGACAGCCACCGTATGGAGCACACCAGCCTGGCCTGTATCCACAGCAGCCGGTGAGTGGGCACGTGGGTGTGGGTCTCTGCATTGTTTGTTTCTCTCCTACAAGCTAAAACTCAAACTTGTGCTATCTCTGAAGAAGGAATTATCTTAGGAATTATTACAAAAATGATTAAGTTTATTGAATATTCAGGCTATGTTTAATTCTAGAAAATACTCATGGAATTTTGAAGTCAGCAAATTAAAAACAGTTCTTGACATATATTATTCTGAAATATATATAATATGTAGGAACTTAAATACGTGCATTCTTGTGAATAATGGCTAGTCCAAGCTGAAGTGAAGTGTGTTATAAGCATGTGTCAGTCATGCAGTCAGCCTTCTGTATCCACAAGTTCCACATACATGGGTTCAACCAGCCACAGATCAAAAATATTTGAAAAAGTTCTTTAAACATTGCATCTGTAGAGAATATGGACATACTTTTGCCTTGTCATTATTCCCTAAACAGTACAGATACCAACTACTTACATAGTATTCATTCACACTGCATTAGGTTTATAAGTAATTTAGAAATGAACTAAAGTCATGTGGGAGGATGTGAGTGTTGCATGCAAAGCCTGCACCATTTTTCCTAGGGACTTGAGCATCCTTGGATTTGGTATGGGCAGGGGTCCTGGAACCCATCCCTCACAGATAATGAGGGGCAACTGTATACTCTTGTATTAAAAAACCATTGTAGAATAAGAATGTGTCAGTGTTTTAAAGAATATATAGAAAAAACAACTTAAAATATTACATAAAGAGTGAAAGCTGACTTTTTAAAGAAACAGGTATTAATGACTGTGTGTTTTGAGTAAATAAAGTAAATATGTGTGGATAACAGTAACCATCGCAACTCAGTTGTACAAAACCCCGCCCTACAGCTCTTAGAACTGATGCTAAAAATCGTACTTTATGCTGCTGTGGCTTTTTAGACGTATATGACTTTGCTATTTCTAAACAACCTGTCAGGTCTGAGACCTCTTACAAATTAAGAGGATTTTGTTTCAGAATTTTAAATCACAAAAATAGTTTTTAAACATTTAATTTAATTTTTCAGGAGCATATATGTATAGTAAGTTGTGTTATTAAACCACTAATCTTAAACAATTTTTGGGTAAAGTGAAAGAATACTAATTGAAATACGAGCATCTCACTGCCTCCCGTCAGGAGAGTCCCACCCACCTTGACTAACCCTGGTTCCCAGAGAGTTCCTTAGAGGAGAGCTGCATGACAAGTGGAAGGAACAGCAGGGCTTTCATGAAGAGTCTGGCTGGACAAGCTGGACATCAGGCCAGGAGCCAAAGGATGGACACCAGGTGACATGGCCCAACCTGAGGAGCTGAATCCTGCTGGGAGGCTTTTCTGTAAAGTGAGGCCTGAGATAGCCTTTTAACCCAGGAGCTGCTCAGACTGGCCCTCAGTGCACTCCTTTGAGACTGATCCTTCTGGCCTGGGGGTCATCTTGGTTTAGCTCCAAGCCCCTGCCCAGTATCTGCCTGTGCAGCAGTCAGCAGCATTGTGCTGTTCCAGTGTTGCAGCCAAAGGAGAGGATGCTTTGTTTTTCTCAAATAAAGTTTCAAACACATAGAGGCAACACTCAGGAGCTCTCTTCAGAGCATGTGGCAGGACATTATATAATACTGAGATACAGTCCTTAAATGGTTAGTTCTCATGGTTATATAGGAGCTTCCCATACTCATTTTGAAATGAACATTCCACCAGATAATAACTATTTTGCATAATTTGAGTGTGTGTGATGATACCTGTAAAAGCACATCAGTTTTATTTGTCTTTATGTGAATTTCAGAATTACAAACGCCATATGGATGGCATGTACGGGCCTCCAGCCAAGCGCCATGAGGGAGACATGTATAGCATGCAGTATGGCAACCAGCAACAAGAGATATATAACCAGTATGGAAGCTCTTATTCTGGCCCAGACCGGAGGCCCATGCAGGGACAGTACCCTTATCCCTACAACAGGGAGAGGATGCAGGGCCCAGGCCAGATGCAGCCCCATGGAATCCCACCTCAGATGATGGGGGCCCCAATGCAGTCATCTTCCAGCGAAGGGCCTCAGCAGAATATGTGGGCAGCACGCAATGATATGCCTTATCCTTACCAGAACAGGCAGGGCCCGGGTGGCCCTGCACAGGCACCCCCTTATCCAGGCATGAGCCGCACGGATGATATGATGGTACCTGATCAGAGGATAAATCATGAGAGCCAGTGGCCTTCTCATGTCAGCCAACGCCAGCCTTACATGTCATCTTCGGCCTCCATGCAGCCCATCACACGCCCACCTCAGTCATCCTACCAGACGCCACCATCACTGCCAAACCACATCTCCAGAGCACCCAGCCCAGCTTCCTTCCAGCGCTCCCTGGAGAACCGCATGTCACCAAGCAAGTCTCCCTTTCTGCCCACCATGAAGATGCAGAAGGTCATGCCTACTGTCCCTGCATCCCAGGTCACTGGACCACCCCCTCAGCCACCCCCCATCAGAAGGGAGATTACTTTTCCTCCCGGCTCAGTGGAAGCATCACAGCCAGTCCTAAAACAAAGGCGAAAGATTACCTCAAAAGATATTGGTAAGAATTCTAAAGTTTGCTCTAAAAATTAATTTCAGTTGCAATCTAGTATTTTAATTTTAGTTTTAATGTAGTTCCTATCAGTATCTATAATAGGATGATATTCTAATATGATTGGAAATTATCAGGAATTTTTTTATATAGGAGCAATAGTTGGAAGCCACTGGTTTCTTAATCAAAATTTAAAAACAGTGCCAGAGAATTAAAATGGTAATGCTAGGTGTGAAAATTATTTATATGAGAGATTAGAGCTCCAAATGAGTGATCAGGGAATCCTCAGTGATTATGTACTAAATTTAGCTTTAAAGATTGGACCTTAACCATGCCACTTAATCTCTTAATCTTAATATGTGCTAAAATGATACATTGTGAAGCTAGGGATGACCTGGGAAAATTTGAAGGCAAGCTACTCTGTCTTAGTGACAACATACAGTGAATTTTCATGAGGGAAAAAAAAAAACATGGCTATGAGATATAAATAAATAAATACGTGTGTTAGCTTTCTGTTGCTGTGACAAAATACCTGAAAAAATCAACTTAAAGGGAGGAAAGCTTTATTTTGGCTCATGGTTTCAGAGGCTTCAGCATATAGTTGGTTGGTTCCATTGCTATGGACCATAGGTGAGGCAGAGCAGCACAGTGGCAGGGCATGGTCAAGGAAGCTGCTCACCTTATGGCAGCTGGAAGCAGAGAAGAGGAGGCAAAGAACCAGATGTAATCCCCAAGGTCACACATCCATGACTCACTCCCTTCAACTACATACTCTCTCGTAAATTCCCTTCATCTCCCAATAAAACCATCAGATTATAACTCCATCAGTGGGTTAATGCACAGGAGGGTTGATCCCCAGGAGGATCACAAGATTGAGCCCAGTTTGGGCAGTTTAGCAACTTAACAAGACCCTATCTCAAAATGTAAATATATTAGAAGGATTGGGGATGTAATTGCATACAAAAGCCCTAGTTTCAATTCCTAGTACTGCCGAAAAAAGAAAAAGATCAGAATCACTTGACATAAAATCATTTGTAGTGATTAGAAAATTAAAGATACTAAATTAGTGAGACAAAGGATATTTCATTTGTTGGACATTAAATACATATATGTAGAGAGAAAATATTGGGCATTTTTTATATCTTAGGGTTGCAGGGGGAGAGAATGAGATGCAGACACTGAGCACGATTTTTATACAAAAACACATAAATACAATGTATATTTGTGTTTATGTATATATTATAAAGATTTTTTAAAATGTCTTAGTGCGTACTATACCAGTGATTATCTTCAACCTAGGGAAATTTATGCTCCTTATTTTAAAAAGAAAATTTAACTTTTTTTTTTTCATTAGAAAATTAGTATGTGCCTATCTTAGAAAATTTGAAAAACAGATGCAATTAAAATATAGGAGGGAGGGCCGGGGATTTAGCTCAGTGGTTCCGGCGCCTGCCTCACAAGCACAAGATCCTGAGTTCGATGCCTGGTACCAAATAAATAAATAAATAAATAAATAAATAAATAAAAATATATATATAGGACAGCACAGGGTCTTCCCCCATGACAGATCACTGTGGGCACCCAGAGAGTGCTTTTCTGCTCACATAGTGGTGGCCATGAGAGTCTAGATAGAGCAGGTCCTCCATTCCATCTGGTGCTCATGCTCCTGAGCAGCTATTGCTGAAAACTCAGAGGTCTGAGGATTCCATTCTGTACCTTCATTGTGTGCACATCTTACAACTTTTTATCTAATTGGCCTTCAGTGACAGGAATAGGGAAAACAACCAAAAAAAAGCCTATTTCCCAGTCCTTGGCTGGGAAATGAACATGATTCCCATGTTCTTGAAAAATGTAACCATCAAAGTGCTGATACTTTCTTATTAACAGCATGTTCTAAGGGCAGGAGCACAGAAATAGAAAACCTCATGGAAAAATCAAGACTTCACCTAAGATGTTAGGATTTGCTTTTATATGCTACACACTTAACAGCCTTCCAAAGACGTCGCCTCGAGAAGCTTGTGACTGGAGAAGGCAGAGGTGGTAGAGACCTCTCTTAGGCTGGCACAATTATTAAAAGCAAGAACAAAAATGCCCCTGAAATGAGAAGAATTGTTTGCACTTAACCACACCCACTGCATCTAGAAGCACTTTGGCTTATGTTTAACTAGCAAAGCAAAAAGATCTTAAACAACAAAAGCTGCTTAGTACAACTTATCACCTCCATTTAAAATCAGAAGATGCTCATGTGTGACTTTCTGAGCATTTGTTTAAAATCAGTATTTAGCTCAACACTGTACTTCTTTTTTCTTGTTCTTTTGTTATTTTTTATTCTTTCATGCACAGAGTTAATATCACAGCCATCCTTATTCTTTCTCATTTTTAGTTACTCCTGAGGCATGGCGTGTGATGATGTCCCTTAAATCAGGTCTTCTGGCTGAAAGTACTTGGGCTTTGGACACTATCAACATTCTTCTCTATGATGACAGCACTGTTGCTACTTTCAATCTCTCTCAGGTGAGCCTGTGCCAATCCAACAACTGCCCAAATTAGAATATTAGAAAATTAAGTAATGCATAACCTTGAACTAATGCCTAAGTTAATTGGCAGTGACTAGCTAACATCTTTCGTCATAGTAGCTGTTATAAACCAATGCTAGGGCCGGGGATTTAGCTCAGTGGTTTTGCCGCCTGCTGCGCAAGCTCAAGGACCCAGGTTCGATCCCCGGTACCAAAAAAAAAAAATACTAATCAATATATTGCTGTTTGAGAATTTAGCCTGGAGTGATATTCATTTCAGTCAATAGTATGTATACAGACAGCTATGTTTTTTATAAGGAAAGAGTGACCATGTATGTGTGTATAACAGATAATAACAAAGTTAAATTGTCGTATAAAATAAATGTTAGCAAGCTAGTGTGAATTAATCTAAATGTAAAATAGAGTTACAAATTTATTTATTTTGGAAATACGGTTAGTTGGAGATATACATTGCATCTTTCTTTTAATTAATAAGAAATGTTATAACATAGAGAAATGTTTAATGTATATAGAAGTAGAGAGGTGTTTGATGACCCCCCACATCCTCACCATCCAGCTAAAAGAGCTATGGACTCATGGCCAAACCTGTTTCTAGGTCTGCTCCATGTCTTCCTCCCTCTTAGTTATTTGAAGCAGTCTCATAAAGCCCACTACTTGTAATGAGTTTACTTTCCCCCTTTGTTCAGAGTTGGGCTTAAAGTAGCTTCTACCATAATGGCTGAAATAGGGAGAAATGAGAGAAATACTGAGAGTCAGCTGATCTATAGGCTTTTTCCAGCACTTTGGAGGCTAAGACAGGAGGATCATCATGAGTTTGAGGCTAACCTGGGCTCCACGGTGAGTTCAAGGCCAGCCTGTACTTCATCAAGACCCTGTCTCAGAAACAAACAAACAAAATAATTAAAGAAATATTTAGAAATAAAAATATGAAAAAGCTGTTCTCCCCTACACACAACTCTGCTTTCTGTTAAAAAAAAAAAAAAAGAAGGCTAGCACATCTAATTTCTTGTTTCATTTGAAATAAATCCAGAATCTTTCATCTCCTCTTTTCTTTTCTCATTTAAGCCCTTGGAGTACCCCCCAGAAAGTCAATTTTCAATTGATAGAAAGTAAATGAGTAAGGTTATAAATATTGTGCGTGATCTAACACAAAGTAAATATTTGTACATTTTAGCTGGCCTTTGCTAGGGTAATTAACTTTCATCTTTATAATAGATGGGCTGTTGCTACTCACCTATTTTCATATCAAGAGTTGCTTTATTAACTTTCCCATTTCCCCCAGAAAAAAGTGAAATTAAATGGAGAGGAAAAATCTTACATATAGAAAGCTATATGTTTAGGGCCTAAACAGAAGCACTTGGAAAAAATTTGGTGCTCAGGTCCTCTAACTTCTCAACAATCACTAACAAGTCCTTCTAAAAACTAACAGTAGATATGGCAGCGTGACTGATTTCTGTAACCTTGGCATAAAGGTATTTTTTTCATTACCTGCTTATTTTCTACAGTCCCTAAATGTGGCAGGAGGTGGTGTGCCTAGGCCATGCAACCATGGAGTGTCCTGTTTTTCCCTTGACACAGATGATTGCTCAGAGGAAACACCTCATTCTCATAGGCAGTAACTTTCTCCTTGTATCTTTTGTGTTTCAGCTAGAGCTGTGAATAACTGAAATGGAAAATTGCATTTTATGAAATATTCTAATTCATTTATCAGGAACTAAATTGATTTGTTTCTTATTTTCAGTGTTTATGAGCTACTACAGTGCTGAAATTATCTTCTCCAAAAGATGTATAGAGAATGTAAATTAGGGTAATCTAGGGTACCTGAAGCAAAAATAATGATAAAATCCTAAGAATAAAAACTGTAAAAATACCAACAAACAAGTCTCAGATAAATACTATATTAGAAGAGAACAGAGTCACTTTAGGTGAAAGAGTCTGTAAAATGCACATTCTTGCTCTTCTAATAATGAGTGCATTATAGCTAAATCAGAAAAAGAAAAGGGAGGGATAAAGAACAGCAAATCACTCCCTCATTGATAATATTAGAAATGTGGAAGTGAGAAGTTGATTTTTATGTTGGCAAAATAAGAAATTCAGCAGCAAATAGGAAACATGCTCCATGTTGTTCAGTTGATGGTGTAAGTTCTGGAATTTAGTTCTCTCAGATACATAGTTTGCCTCTTATGGCTCAGTTAGAAAGGAATGAAAATGTGTATGAGAGTAATTTTTAAAATGTCCTAATAGCTTTCCGAATATTTATCCCTCCCAGTCATAGCTGATGTCATGACCTTGTACCTGTTCTTTCTTGTTCTCCTCCTCCTATTCTCTCTAGTTATCTGGATTTCTTGAACTTTTAGTAGAGTACTATAGAAAATGCCTGATTGACATTTTTGGAATTCTTATGGAATATGAAGTGGGAGACCCCAGCCAAAAAGCACTTGATCACAATGCAGTGAAGAAGGAAGATAGCCAGTCCTTGGCTGACGATTCTGGGAAGGAGGAAGAAGACACTGAGTGTCTTGATGAGGAGGAGGAGGATGAGGACGAGGAAGACAGTGAGAAGACAGAATTTGACTCCAAGGGCAGTGCTGCCCTTAACACTGTGGATGCCACTGCAGACCTCAAGGAGAAGCCCAAGCAGGCCAGTAAGTTTGACAAGCTACCAATAAAGATTATCAAAAAGAACAACCTATTTGTCATTGACCGGTCGGACAAGCTGGGCCGCGTGCAAGAGTTCAATAGCGGGCTTCTACACTGGCAGCTTGGGGGTGGTGACACCACTGAACACATCCAGACTCACTTTGAGAGCAAGATGGAAATCCCACCTCGCAGGCGCCCACCACCCCCTTCAAGCTCCACGGGTAGAAAGAAAGAGTCAGGAGGCAAAGGTGATTCTGAAGAGCAGCCAGAGAAAAGCATCATAGCCACCATTGATGATGTCTTGTCTGCTCGGCCAGGGGCCTTGCCTGAAGATACAAACCCTGGGCCCCAGACAGAAAGTAGCAAGTTCCCCTTTGGTATCCAGCAAGCCAAAAGTCACCGGAACATCAAGCTGCTAGAGGACGAGCCTAGGAGCCGAGATGAGACGCCCCTGTGCACCATCGCACACTGGCAGGACTCTCTGGCTAAGCGCTGCATCTGTGTGTCCAACATCGTGCGGAGCTTATCTTTCGTGCCTGGCAATGATGCCGAGATGTCCAAACATCCAGGCTTGGTGCTGATCCTGGGGAAGCTGATCCTTCTTCACCATGAGCATCCGGAGAGGAAACGAGCGCCACAGACCTATGAGAAAGAGGAAGATGAGGACAAAGGGGTGGCCTGCAGCAAAGATGAGTGGTGGTGGGACTGCCTCGAGGTCTTACGAGATAACACACTTGTCACGTTGGCCAACATCTCCGGGCAGCTAGACTTGTCTGCCTACACAGAAAGCATCTGCTTGCCAATTCTGGATGGCTTGCTGCACTGGATGGTGTGCCCATCTGCGGAGGCGCAAGACCCGTTTCCCACCGTGGGACCCAACTCAGTCCTGTCACCTCAGAGACTCGTGCTGGAGACCCTCTGTAAACTCAGTATCCAGGACAATAATGTGGACCTGATCTTGGCCACACCTCCATTTAGTCGTCAGGAGAAATTCTATGCTACATTAGTTAGGTACGTTGGGGATCGCAAAAACCCAGTCTGTCGAGAAATGTCCATGGCGCTTTTATCGAACCTTGCCCAGGGGGATGCATTAGCAGCCAGGGCGATAGCTGTGCAGAAGGGAAGCATTGGAAACTTGATAAGCTTCCTAGAGGACGGGGTCACGATGGCGCAATACCAGCAGAGCCAGCATAACCTCATGCACATGCAGCCCCCGCCTCTGGAACCACCTAGCGTAGACATGATGTGCAGGGCGGCCAAGGCTTTGCTGGCCATGGCCAGAGTGGATGAGAACCACTCGGAATTCCTTTTGCACGAGGGCCGGTTGCTGGATATCTCGATATCAGCTGTCCTGAACTCTCTGGTTGCATCTGTCATCTGTGATGTACTATTTCAGATTGGGCAGTTATGACATGAGTGAGAAGGCAAGCATGTGTGAGTGAAGATTAGAGGGTCACATATAACTGGCTGTTTTCTGTTCTTGTTTATCCAGCGTAGGAAGAAGGAAAAGAGAATCTTTGCTCCTCTGCCCCATTCACTATTTACCAATTGGGAATTAAAGAAATAATTAATTTGAACAGTTATGAAATTAATATTTGCTGTCTGTGTGTATAAGTACATCCTTTTGGAGTTTTTCTATTTCTTTTTTTTTTAACCAAAGTTACTGTCTAGTGCATTCAAGGGTCACTTTTTGTTTTCATGGATTTTCTTTTTAATGTTATTTTTCCATGTTGTATTGCATTTTGGGAAGCAAATTGACTTTAAAGAAAAAAGTTTGACAAAAGATGCTAAGATGGGAAAATTTCACCACACTGAGGCAAAAAGGTGAAAAGTTAACCAATTTTCTATGCTTTTTATTCTTCAGAGAATGAAAAAACTGCGTCCCATCACCCAAAGTTCTGTGCAATAGAAACTTCTAGAGCGATAGATATGGGCTCAAGGAGGTGTGTCAGTCAGTAATCAGAACTATGAATGATACTGGTTTCTTCACAGGAAAATGGTCACATTAGGCTAGGAGCAAAAAAAAAAAAAAACGATGTTTTTCAAGTTAGGATTGAAAGTACATCCCCAACAGCGATCAACAGAAACTGCTTCCTCATCACTACCGCCATGTCTGCTGTCTGTCGTTTGGCCTCCACATGACAGTTCTTCACAATTCCTTTAATCATTTTTTAAATATTTTTTTTACTGCCTATGGGCTGTGATGTATATAGAAGTTGTACATTAAACATACCCTCATTTTTTTTCTTCTTTTTTTTTTAGTACAAAGTTTTTAGTTTCTTTTTCATGATGTGGTAACTACGAAGTGATAGTAGATTTAAATAATTTTTTATTTTTATTTTATATATTTTTTCATTAGGGCCATATCTCCCAAAAAAGAAAAAAAATACAAAAAACAAAAACAAAAAAAACAAAAAAAAGAGGGTAATGTACAAGTTTCTGTATGTATAAAGTCATGCTCTATTTCGGGAGAGCAGCTGATCACAATTTGCTTCATGAATCAAGGTGTGGAAATGGTTGCATATGGATTGATTTAGAAAATGGTTACTAGTACAGACAAAAAAGAAAAAATACAGCTAAAAGGAAGAAACACAACTTCAAAGATTTTTCAGTGATGAGAATCCACATTTGTATTTCAAGATAATGTAGTTTAAAAAAAAAAGAAAAAAACTTGATGTAAATTCCTCCTTTTCCTCTGGCTTAATGAATATCATTTATTCAATATAAAATCTTTATATGTTCCACATGTTAAGAATAAATGTACATTAAATCTTGTTAAGCACTGTGATGGGTGTTCTTGAATACTATTCTAGGTTCCTTAAAGTAGCTTTCATAGTAACCAAGTTATTTACAAGAAATAGGGGAAACACAGCAGCGTCCTCACATAATAAAACCCTAAGGTCAGAAATGACCTTTCATGGTTACCTACTTTGGAGTGGGGAGCAACAGTTTGATTTTCTCAAATTATTTAGCTAATTAGTCTTTCTTTGAAGCAATTAACTCTAAGGACATTGAGGTATCATAATTTCCAGTAAAAATGGGAAGTGGCTGCCGACCCACTTGAGGTGAGATCTCCAAAGCTTACTGGCCTGAAAATGTAACATTCTGCCTTTTACTAACTCCATCTGAATTTTAATCAAAGATCAATCTATCCATGTTTCTTCTGTGTGCCTCAAAGTTATTTTGCGTTTAGTTTACTCCACCGTGTATAATATTTATATTGTGCAATGTTTAAAAAAAAGTTGTTATATTGTATGTGGTGTACATAGTGCAAAGTGATTATTTCTATTTCAGGACATATTCTCATATTTCTTCCTACCTGGTGCACAGTAGGTTTTTAATACTCGTCAATTCTAACTTAGACTTTCTCTTCCTGGGTTATTGACTGTTATTGTGTAACAATCAATTTTTTTGAAACTGCTGCATAATTATGCTGTTACCGGTCCCCCTTCTTATTCTGACTCTACCTCTCTCATCCCTCTTCCAATCTCAGTATACTCAACAATTCCTAGCCCTTTGCCACACCTACTGTCTTGGTTCACATTGCTCACAGTAATATATGGAAGAGCTAGACAGGAACATGCAGTTATAATCAATATAAGATGTGACTCTCTAGTGTCACACACAAAACATAATTTTTCCTGCAAGCAGTTTTATCATCTATCAGCTCCCATATTGCTTAATCACTCTTCTTAGATAACAACGTGACCAAATATATGTTGTGTTAAAAATCCATTTATAATTATACTTTAAATACATCTGCTTATTAAGAACAGATTTTAGTGCTCCAAGCTTAGAACATGGAGATTTGCAAGAGGAATTTAATATTATTCTAATTTCTCTCTTACACAATATGAATAAAAGGTATACACAAACTCTAAAGTTATATAATATCCCAGTTCTTTTGTCGACCAGAAGAGTAAAGGCCTCATGAAAGACTGTTGTTGTCATGCTTTGAGCTGTAGCCCGTGCCCAGAGTCTGCCCACTGGGCAGCGCATGGGCACGTACTGACACAGCACAGTCTCTAGGCTCCTCCAGGAAGACGCTAGCATCCTTTCTCCACTCTCACTCCAGCATCAAGACTTAAGAAGCCCACGAAGAATTTACAGCCTGCTTGAGATCATCTTGCCTATAAACTGAGTTATTGCTTGGTCCTAAAAATTAGTTGTTTTTCTTTTCTATGAGGCTTTTCAGAAATTTACAGGATGCCCATACTTTAAATGTGTACCAAAAAAAAAAAAAAAGATAAAAATAAAGGTGCAAAGAAAGTTTAGTATTTTGGAATGGTGCTATAAAATTGAATCTGTTGGTATTTGAGTGAATTTTTTTTAATGTTACAAAAGAAATATTATTGGGTGGCATATCTTTTTCAGTGTTTTGATTAAGGGTACAGAATTAGTTCTTACTGATGAATATGACCTGTTCAAAGTTCAGTTAAGTTGTTTTTTTAAAGTTACAGTAGAAAAAGTTTTTAAAGGGTGCATAGGTGGCTTATACCTTATACCTTGTAAGCTCTTAACTGCCTCTTATAAAAGCAGACAGCCTTTTCCCTGAAATCCATTCATTTGGAAACTGTTGATAGTCTTTCATTTTCTATCAGACCACAGGTACCAGTTCCCCTATCTGTTCATCTCCAAGGAAGTAAAGAAAATGTCATAAATGAGCCACATTTGCCAAACTCTATTTGCTTCTGTTTGGGTTCTGGTTGCTTCTTTATCTGGAGAGCTCAGCCCAGTGCCCCTAGCACATCAGGAGAACTTGGAAGTAAACTTTTAACTTCATAGGCAAGTTTTTAAAACTAATAAATATTTCTGATAATAGCATATGATCTGCTAAGGTAGCACATTATTCCAGCAGTGATGTACTGAGCCCATACAGTGTGCCGAGCTCTGTCAAGGCTTTAAAGGGTCAATGATGAGCAATGGCTCTGCTGAGTTATGTTCAGACTTTAATGTGAAGCTATTGTAAAACTCAACCAGTCTTCCCAGTACAGTATTTATGCATTGAGCACACTCATTTTTGTTGAAGATACAGCATGGTTCTAGTTGTTGTACCCACAGTGTGGCCTGTAGACTCAACTGTACCGTACAGATGCTCAAAGGCCCCTATTCCTGGAAGCATCTGGCTCCTGCCCAGTCTTATGTGGCACCCCCGGGCCACATGGAGAGCCCTGGGAATGCAAGATCTGACTAAAGTCCCCCAGGGTCTCCACTGACATGGATCCCAGCTGTCGAGTGTGCACCTGCCATCTCCAGGCCCTGCTTCATGCCTCCACTCAGAGATTGCCAATGTGGTTCTGCTTTATGATGATCCAGATTGTGCAGTCCTCTAAAATGCCAGAGTCGGGATTTCTCAGTTTATTCACCTTGGAACTTAAAAATATAAAACCTGGGATGTTTGGGGTAGAGGAGATCATCAAGTGTATCAAAAGCGTAAGACTTATTTGTCGTCCCAAATCTGACTTCAGTGATGAGGTTTTACCCCAGCTTTTCCCAACTGTACTCTAAGAAACAGAAGACATCTGAACAAAAATTCTTTACAGTCTTCATGGGAACCTGTAATCCGTATCACTATTAAAATGTTCTACAGAAAAGAACCCTGTTTATCCCAAGTACTTCCTTACCTAATTAGCCTGAAACCTTTAATTTTTTTTCACTATTCCCTAAAAACATGCTGCAGAGTTTGGGGGAATAACCTACTAGTAGTCAAAGATCATCCTGACGTTGCCTAAAAGGTATTTTCCTGTCCTCTGGTTTCTTCAACTGAAATTGAGATGCCTTTGTTGAAGGAGATGTCACTTCAGTTTCTCCACCTGTGATCTGGACATAACACCCACATTATAGGGTTCATAAGGGCTAAATTAGAAAATCTTTATAATCAGTGTATATTAGCCCTACATATATATACATGTACTTCCTTTGGTACTCTGAAGTATGTTCTGCATTGTTTTAAAGAGGTGCCCTAAAATAATATCTTCCTGTTTTCACAACCCATCACACAGTTTGTGTGACTTTGTCCTTTAGAGTTTTTAGTAAAAGCTTTAAGGCCCTAGTTTGCTGCTTACCTGTGTTCAGTACCAGGGGTGATTCTGTACAGTTTCACTGTTGAATGTCACTTTGGATGTCAGGTATTGGAAGACCTGATCTATTCTGCAGACCTGGGGGAAGCGAATCTGGAACACAGTCCTGTGATAAGTTTGTGCTGCCTGACCACAACACATTTCAAAGGGCAGATATGGCAGGTGACTCATTACAATGTCTGACTCGATACTCCCTTTCATCTGACACACAGCAGAGTACCCGTCCACCTGTGTGTGGGCCCACCCCACTCCATCTTCCCACTAAACTGAGTGGGCTGTAGTTTTAGGACTACAAGTAGGGTTCAGGATGATCTTTCTATGTAGCATAAGGTTACTTGAATGAAGCTTGAGCTTTGCACTTTTACATAAGTTTGACATTTAGCAAGCTCAAGATCCATGTACTCTACAAAGTAGATTTTCCTAAAGCATCAAGGACCCTACCCATGAATGAAGCTTGGAGATATTCTTCACCAAACGAACAATCTTCAGGTGAGGACCGCAGCATTGCCAGCAGTGTTTTCTGGTAAGTGGTTATTTAATATTTGGATATGTTTGGCACTTGAAGGAACTTGATAGCTCCTAGTTGTCCTCTATAGAAGCCTTGATATAACGTTATCCCATCCTCTATGTAAAAAGAAAGAGGCTGACATCTTGTAATATGCTGAACTGGAACCAAGCCAGGACTCAGAATGAATATGTGCCCAAGACTTTTTCCAGTTTTACATGAATTCCAGACTGGACTAGGGATGTTTGAAACAGAAGCCATGGTGGGCCACAGAGCTGAAGCCCAAAGGAATCTTTTGTTACTACTTCAGCACAGAGACATTATGTCACCTGCTCACTTGAGGATTAAACCCAGGACCTCACACATGGCAGGCAAGCACTCTGCCACTGAGGTATACCTCTATCCCGCATGTATCTGTGCATCTATTAAAAATGGCACTGTTTTAAATCAAAACCAGGAAAGCCTAGGCAATCCTGCATCTTTCCATTGGTCTCCTCCTTGCTATCCTCTCTGTAATCCTCTGGTGCTTCATCTGCGTGTTTTGTGTTGAGAAGGAAACACAGTTTTCCCCTCCTCAGTGCCAGCAGCTTGCAGTGGAGGCCTGAGTCCACACAACCCCTTCGGCTGCCCACTCCCTCTCAAGCCCATGGTCTATATGAACTTCTGGGAACAACCTGGGTCCAAATCCTTGTTGGGTACAAGCCTGCTACTGAGGGCCAAGATTCCCAAGGCACATCAGATAACTATTTTATCACCTGGATATGCAACAAAACTTTATTTGCAATTTACATTTCTTACAAAAGTACTTTGGCCCATGAATTTCCCCAAATGGAACTCTGTGAGAAACTTAAGAGTTTGGCATTAATCAGATCCCAGCTGCCTTTTAAGGTTGAAAATCATGGTAGTCAAGGGAAAGGAACAACCCTGTATGAACTGGCATGACCATGGGCACCATGTTACTTAAGTTCTTAAAGTTCCATCAACCTGGAGCTACTGAAATACTTTACTTAGTAAATACCCATGGATGTGTGCCTGTTGGACAGCATTTAGGGTCTTGGTTTCATAGCATTTTGCTTCAACTTTTCATCCACCCATTGTGACTTAGAAGAAGACACCTGAGAAACAAGTGATAGAGGACATATGGAAAGGACACCAAGTTACTTATGTTTGGCTCATGGCTTCAAAAATGCTGGTCCCATGTGAGACGTTCCCACAGTGGGGGAAGTGACAGTATATTTTATATATTTAGAGTGAATGCACTTAGCATGATTAAAAAAAAAATTACCCATAAGTGCAATGCTTGTGTTGTTGGTTCCATGTGTTTTTCCCCAAATGTTGTGAACATATGGCCAGAACTTTGCTTGGCCATGCAAACTGAGGGGAGAAGGCTCAGGATGGCAAAGAGCCATTGTGATTTATTGAGATGAGTTTCATTTCCAAAGGGGAGCTCAGAGTGAAAGCCTCTCAGCCAACTTTTTATGTGCAATCCCCTCTCCCCACATTTAACATTTATTTGATGGTGGTAACAGGAGATTAGAATGCATCTGGAAAAAAACCAGGTTTTGTTAATTAGTGGAAGTTCATCTTGATAGGCCCTATTTTCAAAAATTAAATTTGATGTATTTGTTTGGGGCTCAGTTCTAAGCAATCAAATCTTGATATGAACTGACATCTCTTGCCACCCACCCAGAATCTGTCTTTAATGGCTGTTAAATGGTGAAATTTTAAGTGCCTATAAATTATTTTTGCAATGTGATACTTGTATGGGGAATTGGAGTTGGTTTTTGGAGAACACTCCCCTCAAAGCCTCTAGCCTGGCTCCCTTTATGGAGCTAGATGTAAGAAGTCATGCTTTCTATTTTCTCAAAAGCATATCTGAAGGCAGGTTTTGGTGGGGCCCTACTTGGCTTCCATCCCATCCTGTCCTACTGGGCTTCCATCCTCATGAGAGAAGCATGCATTTCCCAACTTGGCAGCAGATGAGTTTCCCCCATCCACTCTGGGTTCTCCTGGCCTCAAGGATGGAGTACTCCTACCCACCCAGCTAGGCAAGGGCACACCAAGTGGGAGTCAGGGGAGCATGACCTCTGGAGCTGCCATTTGGGAGGGAAACCTACCTCTGTCTTCCAGGAGGGAGGGGTTCTTTGTGTGCTCCTATGACCCAGACAAAGGACCCGATTCCAACTTTGCTCACTTCCATGCCTTCACACCATTCTGCTCAGCATACCTGGCCAAAGCCTGGGCACACAGTGTAGACATAATAAACTGTCAACACTTTTTCATCCTGAAAACAAACACTGAGCACCATCTCTTGTCTAGTGGGGACAGTGCACACACCAGGTGAGCACTGTTCCATTTGACAGCCTTGCAGAGATGTGTACAGAGCACTGTGGGAGGATGCAGGAGAGGAGCCTAGCCCTGCTGGAAGGGCAGCCTGGGAAGGCTTTCTGGAGGGGATTGGCCCATGGAGGAAACCTACTGTCTTGCCCAGGCAGCACACTCATCACATGGGAAGAGGTCCCAAAGATCCCTGGGCATCCTGGAATCTAAAGCCCTATAGAGTTCACCTGCATGTTTGAAACATGGCAGGGATATACATAAGGCAAGACTGGAGAGGTGAGCAAGTGCAGGGCCACACAGCACCTTGGTCCCTCCTGAGA